ATTCTCCAGAACCTCCTATAATGTACAAATGAAAGGAAAAATGATCAAAAAAAGGAAAGAAAAAAAGTAGAAGCGGCCATGTCTTAAGTGTTTAGCATTCCTGGCAATCTTGAGGCAGGCACTTTATTTTCGTGCAGACACTGATTTTCAATTTGACGGAAAATGGAAAAGACTTTGACAGAATTCATCCATAATTAATAAGGAAAAATTGCAAAATCATGTGAACAAACAAAAAGGGAGATACATACAAACATCTGGAAATTGAATTTAACTGTACACGTTATCATTTTCCATGCATAATGTACAACTTAAGAAGGTTTTGTTCATTTCATATTTTGAAGCAACCTTCTTATGCAGTAAACCTTTTTCAAACACAAAATATATATGGCCATGGGATGCACAGGATGCATACGTCTATGCCCAACCCCTCCAGTGCCCCCCCCCCCCCCGAAAAAGTTCAATGCACTTTTGCAGCTGACTGTAAAAGTCCCCCCCCCCCCCTTCCCTTTATTTTATTTTGTTAACGGAGCTTGTTGATAAGTTTCCATAGACACAGAGAGACAATGATCATCATACAAAAAATACAAATGCACCCTGCTTGGTCATGCTGTACAATTTGTGGACATTTTGTGCTTTTAATTATGGTACCAGTCTCTGCTCAGGTCCATGACAACCATGTAGTAGTTTCAATGGGAGAGATTTCTATTTTAACCTTGAACCATAAACAGTGTCGAAAAAAATTAGTAAAAAGGTGTCTCCCCCCCCCATACAGTAAAGTCTACATTGTGTACTTTTTTGGAAACCAAACAATACCAAATGATGACGAAATAGCAAGAGAACTCAGACTAGAGTAGAATTTCAATGCTGCAATATTCTCTCTAAAATAACTATTGCCAGATTGTGGACATTGCCATTTTAACACGTACATACATGTATGTACTACATGTATTCTCAAAATTGTGTAGACATACCGGTACGATATGTACATGTACATGTATGTTTATATTAAGAAGGCGAAGTTGCATTAATTGATGTATTTCAGGCTTTATATTGTTTTTTTTTCTTCCCAACTGAAAAAAAAAAAAAAAAAATTTTGAATAAAATTTTCAAATTTATAATAAAAATAAAAATCCACTGTTGACAAATACGTACACCTAAAGTGTTTACCCAGTGGGTGAATAAATGTCGAAATAGCGTCGCGATATTAACAACCTACATGTAACTTCAATGTCTATCCAACGTCGGTTTAGTGACCTTGATCCAACGTACATATTTCGACATGAATCCAATGTTGGATTAATGTCGAAATAGCGTCGCGATATTAACAACCTAAATTCAATGTCCATCCAACGTTGGTTGGGTGACGTATAGCGTTTGTTGGGTTACAGGAAACCTCCCCCCCCCCCCCCCCCTTTTTTTTTTGGCCTTAATCTGCCTTAGATTCCAAAACAGAATTAGGGCACCACATTTTACAGAATATAGGCCTACCGGTATAGCATGCAACTTAATTTCAGACCGCAGTGGATTTTTTTGATTTGTACTCCCATTGAGTGCCATAATGAGTGACAGCAATTTTCTTTTACAAGTGGGAACAGTTGTGTGGCATGGCATTTCCTTGTTATTTGTGTAACTTCCCAGTTACCTGTCAGTGTACTGTGTGCATGAATGAGGACAATCCAGCATGTAAATCCTGGCCTTGCAGAGTATTTAAGATCGTTTTGAAAGACCTACTCAAGCTTACAGGTCGTACGCAAATTTATCCGCGGCCATGAGAACAGCAACAAATGCTCCGGCCAACTATTGTATTTGGAGTTTACAAAGTTGAATAAGTACTATTAATTATCCAGCCAACTATTGCTGTGGAGTTAAAAAAGTTGAATTTATAAGTACTTCAAAGTGCCTTCTCTGAAGTCTGCTAAAAACAATATTCACTGTTTTGAATGGTAGGAAAACTACCTGTAGCCTTGATCCCTGTAAGTGATGTGCAAAGCAGTAGACTGTTGCCAGCATCTCATAGGCCTACATGTACATGTAGGGTGCTCTTTGTTATTTTAATCTAGTTAGTAACCATGGTAACAATGAATACCAGTACATAAAAGGTTGCTCATGGCTATCCAAGTGATACAAAGCCATTGCCCACAAGCATCACCTCAACACATTTTCTTGAGGCGATGTCGGCGGTATATTTTACCATGATGTACCGGTAGAACTTTTCTCTATCATTTTACATGTATACATCGGTATACCCTCTGGAAATCTGATGGAGGCAATTTTTTCCTCAAACAGTTCAATGTTTGTCTGAGTGAACGTTTTGTCCGGTTTTGTGTGAGTAGCCTACTTCACCCACAGATTATCAACAGTTCTAGAGATGTCTCATTTCTCATTAATTTTGAATATCAAAATCCACTGCGCAAATGTTTCGTTAAAAAAAAATTTGGAATTCAGCCGCAACTTTCTATAAAACTTAGGGAACACTGGAAAGGTCCGTAAACATGTACATTGTACATGTACTGGCCTGTAGGAGTGGGTTTTTTTTCTCTGAATTTTTTTGGGTACATATTACATGTACATACATATTGTAGGAAAACAGAAAAGTGGGCAAATTACTTAAGAGGGTACCAGAAGTTGTTCACAAGTACTTTATTGTACAATTTACAATTTGCACATGTACAATTTACAATTTGCATTTCTCCCCCCCCCCCCAAAAAAAACCCAGAAATAAAACATGTTTGTTATTTCTTTTAACAAATTCAACTGCCGACCCTGAATGTAAATTAGGGCCTTCACCCATTTGTTTAGGTACATGTAAGGTCAGTTTATTGGAACTACTTAAGGCCCCCCCTCCCAAAAAAACAACTCCGGTTTCTGGTATGGAGCTTGCCCAAAAAGTGGTGCGGTGACGCGGCATTTTTTTTTTTTTTACCTGATTTTTTTGCTTCAAATGTCGGCTGATGACTGCAAATTTGGTGCCCGACTAAACTTAGTGCAAATATACATGGGAGTCCAGAGAGGCCACATAAAGCAAATTCTCGACCATAACCCAATCTAAAAACACGTTAAAATTGTGCAGCAGCAGGATTCCAGTCAAACCAGTGAGTTTGGTGGTTTTGAGACATCATCTTTCATTGAAAAAAACACTTTTTCATTTTGCCGACGCGCATGGCTACGGCGACGCGCGCGCATACCAGAAACCGCAGACTTTGGGGGGGGGGGGAGCCCTAAAGCATCTTTCTTTCTTTTTTTTGGGCCTATCTTTGGTGTATCAGTCATTGCTCCTTAGGCATTTAATTTCCACATTTACCAAAAATACCGTAGGCCTACCTGACCTTTTTAAAACAAATTACTGGCATTTATAGCCCGCTAAACATAGCTTGCATGTGAATTGGAATGCGTATGAAAATGCATACGAATTTTGTTCAACCTTTCCAGCAATTGATGGATACGTTATCTGTACAGTATGTACATGTACAGTCATGACAGTGTACACGTACCGATAGTACACGATGGATGAAAACATAATTATTTGATTTCTAAAAAAAAGTGTTTTATAACCACATGCTCCGGTTCATGTACCTCTCCCCAACTCCATGCATCCAATTACTTTATTCGATAATCAGTTGTTCAACGTCACAATATAATTTTTGTACTTGAAATGTATTCAAGAAACGATGTAAACCTCAAAACAGGGACTACATCACCCCTTACAAATTTAATGGATTCGTCCATGAAAATGGCCGCATCATTTTGACTATTTTCGAAGAAACTTATGATCGAAACTTGAATACTGCTTGTTAGTAATCACAAAAATTTGATAAGTTTTGAGATAAAAACGGACCTGTATATTTTTAGGACAAAACAAATCAGCATCTGTTGCCACAAAGCAAGATTTGTACGTAGCGCTCTTGTCAGACAACACACGCAATGGGGGAAAATCACGGTGGGTTGCATACTCTCTCACGTGCTGCAGGAAAATGTTGTCATAGGCTAGGCCGGCGCAGGCTGCCGCGCCGGGCGATGTATTAACTTTTACGGCCGGGTACCGGACGGGGCAGCCGGCAGCAATTCCCGGTGTTTATTTCTCATCATCAATTTCCACATTTGTTTGTGAGAGTATCGATTGTAAATGATTTGATACAACTTTTGTGGCCCTTTTTATAGCTTCTGTAGTGTAAATGGAACTGGTTCAGAGCATTTTGGCTAGAATTTGGAGGCCTTAGAAAATTATAACCGCTGCCGTCGGTGCGGCTTATACGCCGGTGCGGCTTATACGCCGACTTCAAATCTTAATTTGCAGATTTTTGCGTGCTGCGGCTTATACGCCGCGCGGCTTATATTCCGAAAATTACGGTACACAGTGATTTGTAGTTGCTCATCATACATAATTTGTTGTCCTTAACTCATTTTCAAAAATATTTACAAAAATATTTGTAAAAGTGCACAGCGTTGGAATTTGGCAGATGAAACAAGTTTTTTCAGCTGATTTTAACAGAAGTGGATCAAGGATGAAAGAAACAAAAATTTTCTATTGGAAACTTGACTTAAATAATAACACTGACTTCAAATCTGTGTGAACATGTACATGTATGTACCTGATGTACTGGTTCCATTTAGGAAAACTAACATGACTAAAGTGAACAAAACATGTAGCATTTGAAACTAAATTTTTGAGACTTGGTCACATTATTGGTTTGGAATAAGTCCTACGAGAGATAAATCACATACATGTACATTTATTCATTTATTCCATTTCTTTGCCCAGGGTATGCCCAAACAGTTTAAAACTGGTTTCCATTGGGGCCCTGCATACAATAAATAATCACTACAAACATGTATAATTATACAATACATTACAAATACAATGAAATTCAATACAGTGAGATAAAACATTATTGGAATAATGCATAGTTGTTAAGCAAATATTATAAATACATCATGTATGTATTCTGTAACTTTTCAATGATTATAAACGTGCACCTTTCTTTTACTATCAAATGCTGAAGGCTATGTGAACATTTGATCAGTTAACTATACATTCAGCGGTGTGCGTGCAGCCGGCTTCCCTGAAAACCAGATCTGTTAGCCTGATTAGAAAACATATTCAATTATTGTCGAGCTCCTGCATCTAACAAAACAATGGGTAAAGGCACAATGGGCAGTTGCCATGGGAAAGATATCCCTGCGATGCATGACAAAAAACCGCACGACCAACCCAGAGACGAAAAGCCCAATGGGAAACTCCCCGTTGAAGAAGCGGCGAAACAGACAGAGTATGATGGAGAAAGGTAAGTCTAGAGGTTCTGTATTCAACCACAAGCTGCATTTTGTGTTTTTGTCACCCTTTGAAGAAAGCACGCAATGTTCTTTTCGTACAACAGTACAACAGTCCGTCACAAAAAATGTACACGTAGTTGGAGGACGTCAGTCATGTCAGTGTTCGGATCATCCAGATAACTGACGACCAATACCACTGAATACATACTTGCATTATCATCCGGAGAAATAATTTACCTAAAACGTCTAGTAATTATGTGATGTTGGACTCGTTTACAACTTTGTTAAGACTTTTTATTTTCTTCTACTCTTTTCAGGGCCGATATTGCACTCATTGGCTTGGCCGTTATGGTAAGTGTCCGCATTTCTTGTTACTTTGTGAAATAGTTTTGCTTTCAGTCCTGAATGTTTATGTCTTTCAAAGGTGGTTCTGGTGAGAATGAACCCAATCAAAATGTTTCAAACTGAATGTCCTTTTTTATGAATTTGAGCACATTTTCAGTATCTTTGACAAAATTTGAAAGGTATAGGAGATGTCCTGGGTCACGCCTTTTTCTTGTTTTTGACAGGAAAAAAATACCCCCCCCCCTCCAAATCATTATTATTATTGATTTGGACGTATGATTCATTTTTTTCTTCATCTATTTGGGCACAATTTTGTTCAACTTTACATTTGTGTTCAACTTTACATTGATTGCTTTTTGTCATTTTTTCCCACCAGGGCCAGAACCTGATTCTGAACATGAACGATCATGGATTTGTGGTAAGGTTGTGTCCATTTTCCGCTTGTTTTGGGGACATTTTAGTTTATCTGAAGTGTATAGTGTACTTTGTGCAATCTGTTCATGAAGAACCTTCAGACCTTTACCAGAACTTCAGGAATTTAACCAAAAAAAATCCAAAATTTCTGAAGATCTCAAAATTTGGCTGAATACACATTGAGTATGTAAAAGGTAACTTTTAAACTATTTTTAGCTCATGGCCAGAGCCCTTTAACCCTAACTCCCCAGCCTAATTTACTATATAGGAACCATACAGATTTCAACACCCACCATTGCCCACATGGGAAATTGTACACACACACTGTTGGACTTAGTTTCCGTATGCCAACCCCAGTGTAAAAGACCATCAGTTTAGGAGTACTGTACCTATCCCAACAGATTTAAACAAAACTTGCTGTTGAACTTTGATGGGTTGAGTTTGGTTAGGGTTAATCCTGTTGAATTCAGAAAAACAAATTACGAGACTTCAGGCAATCCTACATGTACACATATATAGCAATTTCTTTGCATGCTCAGTAAGTCAAATTAAGCTGAAACCCATATATACATACATGTACCTTGTGCAAAATCTTTGGTCGAACAGGATCTTTGGGAGCTTCGCTATACCAAATCATTCCATCACATTGGTAAACTTGTTTGACATTCTCTAACCTTTTGATACTTTTTCTCGTTTCACCAATCTTATTACATATAGTGTACATTTGTTTGTGTATTTTTCATGTGTAGGTCTGTGCCTTCAACCGCACCACATCCAAAGTGACCGATTTCCTGAACAAGGAGGCCAAGGGGACCAAGGTCGTCGGCGCGATGTCGATGGAGGAGATGGTGTCCAAGCTTAAGAAGCCTCGCAGGGTCATGATGCTGGTCAAAGCTGGATCGGCGGTCGATGCTTTCATCGACAAACTCGTGAGTCAATGTTTCTCCGAAGAGAGTTTCCACTGTAACTCTTTTAAACAGACACATTCTTTCGAATTAAAGACTGTGAGAGACAGTCTAAGTGTATTCAAGTTGATGACCAGTCAATCGCATGTCAGATCACCTGTTCAATCATATAAGTCAATTACTAATCAAATACAAGTCAATCATTTCAAGTCGCAAACCAATCACAAGCCAAATCGTTAGTAAAGTCAATCCCAAGTCATTCACAAGTCAATCGCAAGTCAGTGACAAGTCAGTCACAAGTCAATCACAAGTCAATCACAGGTCAATCACAAGTCAATCACAAGTCAATTGCTAATCAAATACAAGTCAATCCCAAGTCACTCACAAGTCAATCACAAGTCAATCACAAGTCAATCCCAAGTCAATCACAAGTCAATCCCAAGTCAATCCCAAGTCAGTCACAAGTCAATCACAAGTCAATCCCAAGTCAGTCACAAGTCAATCTCAAGTCAATCACAAGTCAATCACAAGTCAATCCCAAGACAATCCCAAGTCAACCCCAAGTCAATTCCAAATCAATCTCAAGTCAATCGCAAGTCAATTTCATGTCGATCGCAAGTCAGTGACAAGTCGATCATAGGGCAATCGCAAGTCAATCATAAGTAAAGTCACAAGTGTAATCACACGTCAACAACACAGAATCACAAGTAATGTGATGTCGAGTGACGAAAAGATGGCTTTTTCACTATTCCTTCATAAGGTTAGCACTCGGTTCTATAAGGTCAAATTTAAGTTCAAGTATGTTTTTGGTTGTAAAGGTTTTCATTTACTGACGTTACATTCTCACAGGTTCCCCTCCTGGAGAAAGGTGACATCATTATTGATGGCGGCAACTCAGAATACACAGACTCCAATGTAAGTCGGATTTTGATTTCTTAGATCAATTTATGTTTATTTTTTAAAGTTATGCCCATTTTCATTAATACATCGAGTACACATGGGACCAGATTTAGCCTATTCGTTGGCATTGCGAGGTAATCCTGTATGATAGCACTGCCCGACACACAAGCAAATACGTGAGTCGGTGAGTGAGTGAGGTACAAAGTGGACAGTAGGGACTAGCAACTATTTTGCCATCATGCCAAGACAAGAATGCGTCTGGTAACAAGAAAGCATTCGGAGAACGCAACCTCCACCAAGGCTGAACAATTCCCCGGCATATTGTTAGTACATCCAACACAAGGAACTTTTAAAATGTTCAATCATGTTCTAAATGAAAGGACAGAAACACTCTGTATTAATATCGTTCACTTGTTGAATACAGAATTATCAATAGCCTTGGTCAAGGCGCTAAATGTTATTCATCCCGGCTGTGGCGCGTAAACGATATCCTCGCTAGGGCCATGCATTATGCAGTGCATTAAAAATACAGCGCGAACAGCGACCTCATGCGGCCACCATTTCTATGCAAATTAGTTGGACCCTATATCGCGCCTTGGTTCAATCGTCGGCAAAAGCTTATGTTTTTCTTTATTTTGCGCTGGATTTCTAGCGCACGACCTCGTATGCGAATACAGATAAGTGTAGGCGGGGCTAATATGTGGAGTGTCCAATCACACCTTGGTAAATCCGGACGTCATCAAATTGTTTGCAGCTAGCTATTCGCCTTTTGCGGACGTGACAGGAACCACAGTTTTTGTGCATTGGTGCCGTGTGCAGAGACACATAACGTGTACGTGTACATGTATGGATTATGTACGGTGCCACGTTTTACTAAGCAAGTTTCCCCGCAACGATCGACCAATAAGAAAACGACATTTAAGGTCAGCTAAGGCTATTAACATAATGAGCTCCACCCCCAAAACCTCACATGGACAACTGAACCAAGGCGCTATATTGGGTCCAACTGATTTGCATAAAAATAGTGGCCGCGTGAGGTCGCTGTTCGCGCAGTATTTTTAATGCACTGTACTGCATGCATAGCGCATAGACATTATGACTGCATGCATTACCTCGCTACGGCCGGATAAAAAACAATTAGCGCCTTGACCAAGGCTAAATTATCAAGTGCATGTAGCAGAGTTGTGCCATTTCCATAGGGTCACTGTTTACATTAGGGTCGTAAAACAGGGGCTTGCAAGCCACAGGGTGTCTTTTCTAGGGACCAGTGTCCCAGTATATAATGAGTTTAACATACATGTACACTGCCTGTCACTTGCACTGTGTGTATGGTACATGACCCAGAAACGGACAGGTCCATTATTGGTTTTTGTTTTTTCGGGGGAGGCCGGGAAGGGGTGCCCCAGTTTCATAGTCCATGGCATATTTGTACATGAAGAATGTTTAAAATATTCATCTGGATTACGTCCAACATCTAATGGGTCTTTGCTTGTACCAAAGACCACCCCCAAAACAAATTTCATGAAAATCCGTACATAACTTTTAATCCTGTTGACAGTCAAACCAAGGCCGATAAAATACCTCCTGGTGAAGGTCAATGTACTTGCATTGTACATTGGCATAGTGACATCTCATTGATTGAGGTGGAGTTAGCGTTCTCATAATCGGTACTTTATTTTATATATTGGCATGAGGAACTGGTAGAATAGATTATACTTAGTAGATCATGTCCATCAAAATCCATCACTCGCTCTCCTTCACTTAATGATCAGGACCACATCCATTGAAACCCACCAATGGTGCTGGTCGCAGATTTTGATGGAGTTAGGAAGGTTAAGGATAAAAGAAACATCCAATCAATAGCCAGTCTGGGTCGATTTAAAGCTACAGTCCATCATTTGTAATTTGTGCATTTTGTTCGTTTGAAGCAACAAAAGAGTTCAAAATCTAATGAAGGATACTGAGCAACTAACCTGATGAAGTTTCAGCTCAGCTTCAGCTGTACATTCCGAGAAAAACAGCATTCTACGATCTCAATTTCAAATTTACTGAATCATGTTTTGAATTGTTTTGAATTGCAGCTATATACGCAACGTCGCGCACTGATCCGACGAATTATAGCAACCGCGCGCGCGTGTGTGTCGTTCCAATACTTGTGCGCGCTGCGCTGAATAACAAAACGAACTACTAATTTAAATTTTCCTACGGTGCTTCTTAAGAATCACCGTTGGAAAGGCCTTCTTTCGTTGATTACTTCAAAATGACAGCTTTCCAGAAAGAATAATTTCACAGGGAGTTTAGTTCCCTTACGCTCTTTCAACCAAGTTTGTTTTTCAACAATAATTACGCCAGTTACTTTTCGGATGGCTGCAAATGATGGACTCTAGCTTAAATAATACAATTTCTGTGTGCTCACTGCAGCTTTATTGGCTTGCCCTGTGTTTTTTTTAATAGTTAAAATATTGTTGTGGAGTTTACGAAACTCATGCTTAAAATTTTTTTAACTTTTTTTGTTATTTCTGACGTAGCGTCGTTGCGCAGCTCTAGCTGAGAAAGGTATATTGTTTGTGGGTAGTGGAGTGAGCGGTGGTGAGGATGGGGCTAGGTACGGACCATCCCTCATGCCCGGCGGGGCAGAAGAGGCTTGGTGAGTAGTTTGGTAAAGATACACTTATATTCCAAAATTATGATTGATTTTCGAAAACCTGAAAAGGTAGAGGCATCATGCTCGGCAAGTGTACACATGGTTCAGCATTGACTTGTAACCTCCTCAACAGTTAGAAAGAGAGAATTGCAAAGACGATGTGTGTTCGTGCATATTCAAACAAAAATATTTATTATGTGCAAAGGCATTAGAATGAAGGGGTGCGAGAATTTGTGCATGGATGGAGTGTGTCCCACACTCTCAAAGTGGTTACAATGTACAGACATATTGTTTGATGTGCACATGCTCAGAAAATGGTTTCTTTTTTTAGCATTTTTTTTTTTACTTCGCTGTTCCATGAACTGTAACACCCTACTGAGTTTTACTAAGAACAGTCCTAGTCCACCAAAATTCATGACCGACTCTGTTTTGCATAATCCTCAGTACCAAATCCGCCAAAATCCACCACAAATCCACCACTGCTATACATACATACCGGTAGGTGGATTTTCATGGACTTGGTTCTCATGCCTTGCCTGCCAAATCCCCCCAAATGGTGGGATGGATTTTGATGGAGTTGGGAAGGTTAGGGTTAAAAAGCGTCGTGTAGATATGTGTTTTTTTTGCTCAATAAACCAGTTCCTTTTTTACGTCAAAAAGTTGATGATATTCATGCATACGTGTACATTGCATCATGCTTTCAAAATCAACAAACTTCAATAAAAGTTGCATCATGCTTTCAAAATCAACAAACCTCAATAAAAATTGCATCATGCTTTCAAAATCAACAAACCTCAATAAAAATACACTTAAGAATGAGATTTCTATATATTTGGACTGCATAAAGGCAGACTACCGGTACAGGTACATGTAGCTACAAGCGTTTATCCCGACGTGAAAATTACCTGTGCACATGCTCCATATGAACACACGGTTGACTTAAATTCATTGGAGGGGTTTTGTTAAATGTATGGAGGTTCTTCCTTGTTTGTTTGGCATTGTTGTCAATGGATTTGCAGTGGCCCGGATCCTTCCACCAAGTGTTTGAATAAAAACCCTGTTTCCTATCTTCACTTCCTGTTGTTTTTCACTTTACCCAACATACATGTACTTGTTTATCCTGAAGTGATGATTATCATATCTTGATGTGCGCAATACATGCAACTCTTTTGGAATATACAGAGCTGAATTACGTATTTCATTGAACAGGTTGTGTGGAAGGTAACTGGATTCTTCAGTGTGCAATTGGCATTGTCAATGGATTTGCCCTGGCCCATATACATGTACCTTCCAATGGGGGCATGTATTTCAACAGAATCCTGTTACCTTGCTTTATTTCCTGTTGCCTAAATTTCCATGGTCCTAGCTTCAGGGAAATATAATCCCTTTTTTATTTCCTTGTGGTGTGTACTAATGCAAAAGGACATGAACACAATGAATATGGCATGGTACTCAACATGCATTCAGAGGTCACACAGTTGACCTTAAACATGTTAAAGTGGCCCAATCAGGAAGTCATTTCAGCTTAGGTCAGACAGTATCGCACAATTTTTATTTAGTGCTTTATATTTGAAATGTGTGCAGTTTAATGTTTCAATGTTAATTGTATTGTTCCGTGGATACATGTTCATTAAAGTGAAGTGGCAGTAAAATTGGTTGCCCTTGCAGCTATATTTGCACTGCGACCAGCTTTGAGGTAAATTAACAGGGATACATGTAGGCATAAGTAGACCTAAATAATGAAAGGTTTGCGGAAACACCATGTGCGAATAATTTCTCAACTAAGAGAATGGTTCAGAAAAGAACCAGAGGTATAAACTCGATGTTCCGGTCAGTATGCTCTGACCGTCTTCAGGAGAATGCTCTGACCGTCTTCAGGGGCATTCTCCTGAAGACGGTCAGAGCATACTGACTGGAACGTCGAGTTTATACCTCTGGTTCTTTTCCGAACCATTCTCTTAGTTGAGAAATTATTCGCACATGGTGTTTCCGTACACCTTTCATTATTTAGTATCTCCACCTACATGTAGCAAAGCCTCAAATCTTACTTATGAGTAGACCTCTTGTGCATTCATTGTTAAAGATACACACCCCATGCTCTTTAAAAAAAAATTGCTTCTTACGATTTTTTAATTTGTAGGTTTTGTTTTAATGAAAAAAATACTTTAGTCTGATTTTGGGTGTCTGAAACCTATCTTTTTTGGAACAAATAACCACCCTGCAGGAGCCAAATTATTGTCAGCAAGAGCCAAATTGTACGTTTGTGAAGAGAAACAATTCAATAACTGAGTGATTTTTTTTTTTTTGTTCAATGTCTCATTCAAAAGTGAAGAATAACGTATATTGGTAGGAAAATAGCCACTGAAATTTTAAAAAACATAGTTTTTCGAGGTGAAACTTGAAAATAGCACGTTGAATGATCTTTAATGAATTAACGTAACAAATTACAACTTGGAGACAGCTATTGAATGCAATTTAACTGTTGAAGCTTTACATGTACGGTATGTCTTAGAATCTGTACTTTCCTGGTTTTGATTTGATACAGGCCGCACATTAAAGACATTTTCCAGGGCATCGCGGCCAAAGTGGGCGATGAGCCGTGCTGTGATTGGGTAAGATTTGGCATTGGGCATACATGCACGTAGGATCATTTGCATTTGTCGTGATTTCATGAAATGGACTTATTTAAGGGCCGTTCATGCATAGAACCTATAGGTCACAAGGAGTGCCCGAGTGCTGGCTCTGTCATGGGAATGTAATACATACTAAACCTAGCATACCCGAGCGTACGTATGAAGTCAAAAGCTGGCTCATGGCTGTTTAACGGATGTCGTATTTGAGAAAGCCATTTGTGCTCAGCAATGGTTAGGTCTTAACCATCGTTAGAACTGATACAAATTCCTCTTTTCTTGAGAGTGACAGCATACCAGGCTCAACAATTTCACAGGATGTTTCATACCGTTATTTACTTACAATCAAGTCGGCTATTTCTTGATACTTGGGCAGTTTTAAGTGTGTAAGTGTTTGCAAATGATCCTATATGCCTTTATAAAATGTTTCTTTGCCTTTGCCACCAGGTCGGGAGTGCCGGAGCCGGCCACTACGTCAAGATGGTCCACAACGGCATCGAGTACGGAGACATGCAGCTGATCTGCGAAGCCTACCACCTGATGAAAGACTTGCTGGGAATGTCCTGTGACGAAATGTCGGCGGTAAACAAAAGCAGTTGGCCATTTGTGAATATGCCCGTCCCATTTGAGAATCAGCCCTGCCCGTTTGGCAATATGCGCTGACCATTTGGGAATATGCCCTGACCATTTGAGAATATGCCCTGCCTGTTTGAGAATTGGGCCGTTCCTGTGGCTTCAATCATATCCTTGTCCCCATGTGGAATTGCAAGTCGTAGCCAAGTTATGCGGACATGGCCCACTGGGCCCAATTTCATAGAGCTGCTTAAGCACAAAATTTGCTTAAGCACAAAAAAACATTGCTTAGTAAAATTGGGTTACCGGCTAAAACTCCATGCGATGTACATTGCTTGTGACTGGTATTTAGCGGTTGTTTACTTAGCAAAACAATCGCATGGAGTTTTGGCCGGTAACCTGATTTTATTAAGCAAGACGTTTTTGTGCTTAAGCAAATTTTGTGCTTAAGCAGCTCTATGAAATTGGCCCCTGGTCTTTCCATTATGTTGAATATTTTGATTCAAGTGCAGGGGTTGGGAACCAGTGTAGCTACGAAAACAGTTTGGCATTAAAACATCAGCGCTTACCAGGGAAATCTCCTACAGCTGTGATTTGATATTTTCCATGTCAAGGGGGTACATGTGCACAGAGCACACAATCCCTTCGTAATCTGATTTCTCGACTGTCAATTCGTAGGCATACATGTAGTCGTGACATCACTCAGAGGTTAACCGGCTGCAACCTCGTGCCCATGGGTACGATCTTGCAGCGCCATGTTGTTTCCCATCATGCCTTGCGCGATCGTAACCCCTGGAATTGTGTAATTTAAATGTACCAAAATACGGTACATTATAATTAGGGCTGCAGTTTATCCGTTTTACGTGCCGACGCCATCTTTAAAATGTTAAAAGTTGTGATTTTGAAGAATCAATCCTTTCAAACACAACGTTTGGACGTTGTGTTAATTAGCAAAGATTTGTATTAAATGTACGTACCCCTTTCGTGCCTTTACAACCACAGATACAGGGTTTTTTTTAGCGAAAAACGCGGCTGACATAATCCATATCGTACAGGCTTCGCGACTTTTGAATCATTTTTTTTTTTCGTACGTGACGTTACGTGCAAAGCTAAGCACGCGAGCGCATTATGGGCGCGCCCGGCGTGCAATTTTCGAAATGCCCGCGCTGTACGCTGTGAATAGCCATTCAGTGTCATTTACATCATCATCACAGCCAGGGGTTAGTGTAAGGAACGAGCACGCGCCCCTGGAGTCGAGGCTGAACCGGCTGCAACCACGATTTCTGGTTCACTGGCACTGCAAACGGTTATTGGTTTACACGCGCTGCAAAGGCCCAGTGAACACTGTGTCTGTGCCTCATAATTGGCTTGAATCTCCTCTTTGAAGCAAAAAAACAAGCACAATTGTGGTTGTAACGCTCGTGTTGACAATCTGCTGAAAGGCAGTGAACCATTTTCAGGTACTAATTTGTGAAAATGTTTTATGAAAGTAGGATGTAAAATTGCTGTTTATTATCGCGTGTGTCAAACTTATGTGTGATGCTTCATGAAGGATTGTGCGCAAACTTTTGCTGATATTGTTTTATTTCATCAATGTTTTTTACTGACAGGTGTTCTCAGAGTGGAACAAGTCCGAGCTGGACTCCTTCCTGATTGAGATATCGGCAGATATCCTCAAATTTAAGGACACCGACGGTTCACCACTTGTGGAGAAAATACGCGACTCGGCTGGCCAGGTAAGAAATTATAAAACTTAAAATCACAAATGATAAGCCTTTGTTGTTATCAAGAGTCAGTCGAACATGTTTGCAGACTTGCATTCTGGGAGCCGTCCGGGTACGATCTGTAAACTAGTCAGGCATGTAACTTTTCCTCGGATCAGCTGATTTCCTCTTTTTCTACTTCCCATGTGTGCCATTAAAAATAGAAAAACACTGTACAAAGTCTGTGAAAAATTTGAATTTCCTCTTTTGTTGTGACTTCCCAGTTGCATGCCTGACTAGTGTAGGTATGTAGGCCCATGTATGCACACAGAAAAGTTTGAACCTTGAACAGTGCAGCCTAGTGTCAAATGACATTGCCGCTCCCTAACTGTGTTTTGCATATGGCCCGACTGTAACCATCAGTTTTCTTCTTTGCGTTTGTAGAAAGGCACAGGGAAGTGGACGGCCATATCAGCGCTGGACCAGGGCATGCCTGTCACACTCATTGGTAAGCAACTGTGGACATTAAACACACTGAACTCCACCTTTTCATATATTTTTCATTTCCCCCCCCCCCCCCCCCCCCCACAATCTCACCAATTTCAGACTCCAAATAGATCCGTGTAGACATGTTGTGAACATTGTATTAACTTTCCATTGACTAGACTCTAAGAGTTTTCTGAATGGATGTTAGCTCATTTTACGCCTAGGTGCCATTGTTGGTTGTTTTCATCTGATCAGTGTAAGTAATTTGTTTGTTCTCACTTTCAGGCGAGGCTGTGTTTGCACGCTGTCTGTCCTCCATCAAGGACATGCGCATCGAAGCCAGCAAGGTCCTGCCCGGACCCGCGGCCACCAAATTTGAGGGCGACAAGACTGAAATGGTGGAGCACATCCGCAAGGTTAGCCATACAGCCCTCCATCTTGGAGTGTAATTTGTTGGCAGTCAGACAGATCAGTCCCATTCTACTGAGACACCTAGCTACTGCACGGCACCACCCTTTAGGTTAAAAGGAAAATACAACATTTGCAAACATCAAAAAATAAAACTACCAAATCATTTTGAAATACCTTGCTGGACTGTTTAAGTGAATGACAGTGTAAAGCATCCTGTAAAATCATGGCACCTGGTATACTGTCATTTTCAAGAAAAGTGGTATTTTTGTATCAATTTCCAACGCTGGTCGGCCGACCAGCGTTGGAAAAAAACTGGCTTTTTTCAAATACTGGCCCCAATTGACCATCGCACTTGTTTCCAATCGATAACACACCTATGAACGGGTACAAGCCAGCTAGACTGGTTCCCTGACCTTACAATTCCCCAATGTATGTAAACTGCTCTGTTTCTTCTTATATGGAGTCAGGGAACCAGACTACAGGAAAATGATTGTTTTTCTTGGTTTTTATAGCATTTTCGAACCCAAAACCTCAAAAAAGTCAGTGTAACAATATTTGCTATATATTTCCAACCCCCCAATTCCATCCATTTCTGAAAATTACAGCAAAAGCAAATGATGTATATTCTCTTTAACCTGTAGTTTACCATGACTGTTATATCACGGCTGCCACTACAGCCAAAATGTTAGTAAGCTGAATGGTGCATGAATAATGCTCACAATACCCTCTCTCGCGTCTGCGTCACAGGGAGTGAAATTGGCACAAATGGTTTGATCGCTTTATTATTTGGTTCATTAAATCAACTCGTGACCATATCATTGCAATAAACAAAACAAGCTACGATACGCACTTGGCGTCAATTATTTTAGACAGCTGTATACTATTTTTTCTCAAGATTTGTTTTATTCGCCAACCGACCCTACTTCAAAGGCAAATGAAACGTTTCTTGTTCCTCTCTCCACCAGGCACTGTATGCCTCCAAGATCGTGTCCTACGCCCAGGGTTTCATGCTGCTACGTGAGGCAGCCAAACAATACAGCTGGACCCTGAACTACGGCAGCATTGCACTCATGTGGCGTGGTGGCTGCATCATCCGCAGGTAAGACGAACGTTATGACAAAGAATGGTTCTATCTTGAAAAAAAAATACATTACATAATGAAGTCCACCACCAAAGGCGTGGTGGATTTTGATGGACTTATGTACACATGGCCTATATGACAATATTGGATGCTAGGCATAATCGATTGAGTTCCCCGGCAGTGCTTCAGGCCTCCCGCCCCATGTCCATCACACTCCATCAAGAGTTTTGTCAAACCAGGCCTGCAGGACCATGTCCCCCAAAATCCACAAAATGGGGGAGGGGGTGGATTTTGATGGAGTTGTTAAGGTGCAAACTTCTCCCGAGCTCTACTTTCAATCTTGCAACGCCCCAAATAATTTGTTTTCGCTTTTTTTTTTCTGTTTGGATGCAGTCGTTTCCTTGGCAACATCAAGGAGGCCTTCGACAAGAACAAAGATCTGTCCAACCTGCTCCTGGACGACTTCTTCCGCGGCGAGATCACCAAGTGCCAGGACTCTTGGCGCAAAGTGGTGGCCCAGGGGGCACTGAGCGGCATCGCCACACCAGCGTTCAGCTCGGCCCTGGCGTTCTTTGACGGCTTCCGCTCTGAGCGCACGCCAGCTAACCTCATCCAGGTACGTTGCTAAACCTCACCTGAAGAGGGCGCTATTGGCTCTGTAGTCAGGCGTGCAACTTTTCCTCAGATCAGCTGATTTCCTCTTTTTTTACTTCCCATGTGTGCCATTGAAAACAGAAAAACACTGTACAAAGTCTGGGGAAAATTTGAATTTCCTCTTTTTTGGTGATTTCCCAGTTGCAGATTTCCCAGGTACAGAACTGTATATTTAGAGAGTTGCGATATATGACCTTTAATCTTTTCTTCTTGTCTTGCAGGCCCAGCGTGACTACTTCGGTGCCCATACTTACGAGCTTCTGTCGGCTCCCGGCAAATTCGTGCACACCAACTGGACCGGCCATGGCGGTAATGTGTCATCCAGCACATACAATGCTTAGGCTAACTGCGTCATGCGTTTAGGTCCAATTAAAAAAAAATTCTGACTCAGATATTCCACTTTTTGTATTTTCAAGATTTTTAACATCAAGATTTTTTTGTAGTACTTGTTCGCAGAGAGTATGAACAAAAGGGGTGAGCTTTGGTGCTTACAGTGAAATACTAAAACAAAAAAAGTAATAATTGGTTGAAGGAGAACTGTGACGTAGGAATGGTTGATAGGTAGAATAAAGGTATGATTTTTTTTACAGAGAATATTAGAGTCTTGTTTCTAAAATCAATGTCAAACTTTCCATGGTAGTAAGGCTCATCCTGATTATTCAATTGTTTACAAAAGAAGATACGCACTAACACAATTTCAAAGCACAACATTTGCTTTTTTAATTATCAGATTTAGATATATAACAGATATATTGAATATGATTCGTGTTTGAAACAAAACCTCCAAAATCCTCCATTGTGCGGGAAACCAATGGTGCATTTTGTATGCTCCGTCATTTATAACTCCCAAAGGGCATCAAGCCACACGGTAAAAGCTACTGGGCAGTACATCTTTAATCCCTTCTTTAATCTTTAATCACCTAAATCCCTTCTGGAACCAATAGCTTGCCTGCCAAAATTGCCCCTAAATAGGGGGATGGATTTTGATGGAGTTGGGACGGTAAGTTAATCCAACGAAATCCTCCGAAATCTGTTAGTGGATTATAAAGGATTTTGGTGGGTTAGGATTAGGGTTGATATACATTGTAATATACTATGAAACATCCTTTATACATTTGTTGGTGCAAAGCTGCATCTTATTGCAGCCATGTTGACCAGGTTCCCAGAGTGTATAATGTATGATTTACAGTGGAATTGATCAGCAAGTGCTTGGCACCAGACTATTTCTTTTTGGTCACATGCTGTCAATTAAAAAGGTCAAAACATAGACTTGCTTAAAAAAAACTTTTTCAAGTTATAAATCTGAATTTTGGTTTAAGTGTTGAAATATAAACAACATCTGGGTTTAAAGTAGATTATAATATTATTTTAGTTGAGCAGTCCTTTTCCTTAGTCAATGTGCATTAAAAGAAATTTGCTATTTTTGTACAAGAAAGAAATATTTTACATTTAAAGTACTATAATTAAACACGATAAGGCTATTGGGTTGCAATAATTTCTTGTAAGAACCTATTAAAAGTTGATTTACTATCCTGAGTAAAGATTTAGAATTAAAGTATTTGTGTGGCATGTACATGTAGCTGGTTTTCCCTGTACATTCCCAAAAAATTATGCAGTTCTTAATAGGTTTCAAATGCTGATTAACTCAACTCAAGATGTAGGCTGATGTGTTTCATATTTACAGTATCATTGAAAGCCCTTGAGGAAAATGTCGCAGTAAAACAAAATATTCTAAAACTTTGAATGTTTTGAAGAGGGTGTCATTGTGAATCAATATATTCTAATTACAGGACAAGTTGAAAAAATTGAAATAAAAAACGTTTCTTTCTGGTGAATATACATTACAATTCTTCACTTTTTGTTGAAATTATTCTTCTCCAGAAAACTTGTGTCCTGAAAATACACTAAACTTATAGCGACACTGCCACTAAAGTAAGGTTGAGAATGCATCAAGGTCTTAGTTGGAGACTGAGTGAAGGCCTCCACAACAAGCTAAGTGCGGACAATGGCACGCATTTCAAATGGCACTGGGGCGAATGTTAATCCTGTCGAACCCTTGAAGGAGATCGGGGGAGCACCATCGGGTCTCTGGAAGGTGAACTGATGCAGAAGGCCACTGAAGAACAGGAAAAGCTCCATCTTGGCCAGTGGTTCCCCAAGGCACATCCGGCGTCCTGAAGATTGAAAGCAAACCAAATATACAACACTTGGTATTGTAAAACTTAATTATAACAATCTTTTTTTTTTATAAAGCGTACATATCCACTGGTATTGGAGCTCAAGGTGCTAGATCATTTTTATCCTGCTCATTGGGCCAATGAAACATTCCAAATACCATTTCGGCTCCCTGGGAAGTATACAGCTCGATGCTGCCATTTCAGGGAAAAGCGGCTAAAATCAATCGTAATAACCATCTCTGCCCTCACAGGTACCCAATTTACTCTGGGTTGGGACAAGCAATGAGTGACAAAGTACGTTGCCCAAGGGCACCCACACCATACCACCAGGCTGCCTGGATTCGGACCCATAAATGGCAGAATTACCGGTACCTACAGACCACAAATTGCTCCAGACCACAAGGCCACAGCACTCCACTCCAAAATATCAAATGCAGCTCAGCCTGCACTGCACTTGAAAGTTACCAATTTCAAGTATCTCTTCTCTTGAGTTCTGGGGCAATTGCTGCTAAGAATCTTGCTCAAGGACATAGGAAACTATGATTCCCTGGTTGGGTTAGAACGTGTGTTTGAAAGGCCTCGGATAATCTCGAATCAATTCTGAGATTCAAGAGATAGTACCTACCTACGCTGAATGGCATAAACTCATTCTTTCTGGTCACATGGCCATCCTTGTCCAGAAACCTCTCAGGTTTGAACAGGCCTGGTTCAGGCCACACCTCTGGGTCACGCCCCAAAGCCCAGAAGTTTGGTAGCAGGATGGTTCCTTTTGGGATGGTGTAGCCCATGAGTGTTGTGTCTTCAGCAGCCTTGTGGGGTAGGCCAAGGGGCACGATGTTGGCGATGCGTTGGATCTCAAGCATGGTAGCCTCGGTGTACGGGAGGTTTGGTTTATCAGACATCTGTGGGAGGCGATCCCGACCAACAACAGAGTCAATTTCTTGCTGAACCCGAGCTTGTATCTCAGGGTTAGCCATCATGTACAGAAGACTCCACTGCAGTGTGGTGGCAGTGGTCTCTGTACCTGCAAAGAAGAGGTCTCCCGATGTTGTCATCATGTCGCCCATGCTCACTTCCCTATTCCTGTATTCAGTATTCAGACACAAGTAAAGGAAATCTGTTGGGTCGCTCTGGGGATCGAAGGCTCCTCGATGCCAAAGAAGGGCTTCCTGAACAAAAGCGTTGTACTTCCTAAAGTTTTGAGAAATCTCCCTCAGGGATGGTATGAATGCCGCAACCAGATTTGCAAATGGCATGAAAAAGAGGATACCGCCAGAGCCAAGAAGCTCAAAGGTACGAATCGTTTGACGGAGAAGCTCTTTGAATTTGGGGTCATCATAATCATATCTTGTGCCGTACACAACTGCGCAGATGATGTTTGAAATGGCACTGTGGAAGAGATGGACAGTGTTTATAGGTTTGTCCTTCATACTTTTGAATTCCTGGATCAGCGATTTGACTTCTTGTGCAATTGAACCCTCAAAACCAGACCTGCCGATGCTAAAGTCTCGCATGAACTGCATGACCAAATTCCTCTGCGTTTTCCACGTCTGCCCGGATCCTATAGTGACACCTGCAAGAAAACCACTGTGCGGTAACTGACTGGTTTTTTTTCTATTAAAGGGAATGTACATCATTGGCTTTTGCTGTAATTTTCAGAAATGAACTATTTGAGGGGTTAGTATAATAGATCAAATATTGTTACACTGACATTTTTGAAGTCTTGTGTTCGAAAAGGTTGGAAAAACCAAGAAAAACAAAAATGTTCAAGTAGTCTGGTTCCCTGACTCCACAAAAGATAACATGGATCAATTTATAGATGATGGAAATTGTAAGGCAATGGAACCAGTCTAGCTGGCCTGCACCCGTTCATGAACATGTAACCAATAGCAAACAAAATTTGGACTGAAAAAATGGTCAATTTGGAGCAGTAGTTGAAAAATAGTGAGGTTTTTCCAACGCTGGTCGGCCGACCACCGTTGGAAATGTATGCAAAAATACCATTTTCTTGAAAATGACTTCACACCAGGTGCCATAATTTTACAAGACGCTTGAGACTGTCATTTACCAACATCCTAGTAAGGTATTTCGTAAAAACTTGGTAGTTTTATTTTTCGATGTTTGCAAATGTTGTATATTCCCTTTAAGGATGGTATACCATTTATGCTGTCGACTGTCAATGTTGAGGTTGACTAGATGGGATATGTTTTAGGTGAAAAATACCTTGTGTAATTTGTTTTTGCCGTTAAACTGTTACCGAGGTTTAAGAGGTGAATTGTAAAGTTTGTTGGGATTAAGGAAAGGATTCTGTGAAATGAAATGAGTTCTATGAGTTAGGCTTTTGAATGAAGTGTAATGCTTGAAAATAAGAAATGTGCGCCCCCATGTTCACTTTTTTTTGGTAACAGAACATGTGAAAAGAAAATCTAAGTTTTGCAAGAAGCCTGGCAAGGTTTTGTGATGAGCACTTATTGCTACATGTACATGTAGTTCTTTTAAGATAATCTGTAAAATATCATGTGTGTGTTTTTTTTACCTTTGGTTGTGTGATGTTTTTCAAGAAAGAGTGATCTTCTTTCAGGTGAATAGAAGTTTAGTGGACACACTGGAAAGGTTATGAAGAGATGCTGCATGATTCTGAGGTATGGAATATCTTGACTTGAGGTAAACTGACAACTTTGTGTGTACAATGCTTCGAACAATAATGTTCCATAGCTTTTTTTAGTATGGCAGAAGCACTAGAATGACGTTCTTCAAATGTCTGGGTACAAACGCCGGTACCCCAGCCCAACTTATCATCTTTCAGTTTCAAAGCATTTTAACATGGATAATTTTATTTTAAAAAGGGGGAGGGGTCCATGCATTCCTGTGCAAAGAAGTTGTAGGGGATTCAACTTGCTCACCCGGGACATTATACCTACCTATGCCTGGGCTAATACTCCGGGCTACCTCGGACACTGGTCTGTCACTCAGGAGTGGATTGTTGAAAGCTTGATAGATTGCCTTGTAGCCGTGCAAAACGACAATGCGCTTTCCACCAACCAAATCTATTCGCAAGACAGGCCCATATTGCTTCGACAATCTAAGTAAAAATCAAATACACATGTAGTTAGTTTTAATAACATTGTAACGGACAGCTTGTATAGCACTTTCGTTGTTGCTGTTGTTCCTAGCCGCCACCGGAGGGCTCCTCGCGACGGCGCATTTGGCGCGATGGGCCACAGGTACAGGTGCGCTGACCTGGTTTTGGGACTGGCTAGCGCGCGATCCCGAAATGTACTGTTAGGTTGCTTAAGTGGGGTTCTATTGTTCACCTGCGCGAGTATAGGGCCTGGCTAAATTCCAGGGTTGGGTAAAGTTATTTTGTGAAGCTGTGCTTATCATGCTGAGTCCGTTTGGCGCAGAGCTTCCTTTGGAGTTAGAAATCCTGTGTGTGTGTACCTTTTCTTGCGTTTTGCTCGACTTGGGGGACAAGTGCCCAATAGGTTCCCACTATATTGATATCAGCAGAGCTAGCAATATATGTAAGTACATGTACCTCCTTTCGAAGGGCCAGGATTTGTCATTGTGACTTATAATAGATCGATTTGTTTGAAGTTACGTAAACACCTACCTCAGGAACATTTCATGCGGCTCCCCACCCGCCGCAATCAAGTTTGGCAAGTTGCCAAGTAGTGGCCACGGCCATGGCCCAGGTGGTAGATTGCGTGTTGTCCTATCACGACGGCGAAGGATCCAAGACACGAAGAGGAAAACGAAGACAAAGACCAGGACCGTGGTGGTGGAGGTTCCCGATGAGATAGCATCCAATAGTGTGCCCAACGCAGGAGCAGCCATAACGGAGGTGGGGACGATTGAATTGGTGGCTAATTACTGAAGTGTAGTTCTACTGTCGGCCTCCATTTTGTTCACTACAAGGCTATCCTACCTGCAGCCCAACGCCATTGGTGATGTGGACTTTGGTATCGCCGATGTGACCTTGCCGCGTACTTTTGCTCTCTCTATTAGATGGCACTATCAGCTGCATGCACAGGCCTGAGGCTCCAACAACAACAGTTTTTCAAATCCCATGGACATTTGCTCGAGCGTGTAGGCCTTTGTATTGTGCAGTTAGTACTAGGCTATACCAACAAGATCGTTGTCAAAAGGTCGAATATCTACCGTACGCCTACTTTATGCAATCCATGACAGCTAGCAAACTAATGGTGTTCAAGACATCGACTGCCATTTCGCGGCAAGTTCTGGATACTAGCCCCCACCCCTTGGGCCAAAAAAAAAATATATATTCGGTCTCTGGTCAGACCAAAGTTCCGGATTTGACGCGGGGACGCGGCTTTTTTTTTTTGCTTTTTTTTTTTTCTTCAAGCTTGGATTGTACGGACAAGGTGGGGTACTATTTTGCTTTTTTGGTGTCCTCATGTACATTGGTGTCCTCCATAATTTGCCTTGGTGCTCTCGATCATTTGCCTTGGTGCAATTTCCCCATTCCTTGGTGCTCTTTGGTAAAAAAAAAATGAGCAGGTGCGGGAATAGAGGGCGCTGTTGGAGCTACCGCGGAACATTTTGGAAAAAAAAAAGATTGACGCGCATGATTAAAATCGACTCGCGCGCTGACCAGAGACCGACTTATTTTTTTTTTTGGCCTTATATAGCTGGATCATGATCCGCCAAAATAATTCACCCCAGGGAAATGGAAGCTGCTACGTGGTGCGCTGCGCAATTAAAAAGGCGCCTGCGTGCGGAGACGAACTGTACGCAAGGGGAAAACGCGCGAACATTTCGGGGATGCATGACTACTCCGTACAGAATAACATACAAGCAAAGGATGTACATACATGTATGTGAGTACAATGGCACGAATAATGGAACATTTCATATAGTCACCGAATGAAAATATTCTTCCCATTGCACGAATAAATTAGGAAACATATTATTGATTTATACAACGCCTGAAATATATCGTGCGGAACTATTTACCGTGGAATGGAACTTATGGTGCGCGGCGACTGGCGGCCGCGCCGGCATGCCCGCGCAGGGAGGGTTGTGGCGAATAATTCAATGACTCGTGATCAACTTACGACCCTGCCAATCACAAAATGCACTAGTGTTGGTATATAACGTTGTCGCGGGCCTGTGTTAGCCCACTTCGAAGATTTGACACCTGGTCCGACTTTACGCAACATCAACAAAAAAGGTCCAAAAACTGAAAGATGCCACTTAAAACATGTGAAACTTTATTTTACCCTGTATACAACGTACTGTACAAAAAAGACTCCTCAACATGGTGTATTTCAGTCCATTCTTTTACACTGCCATTTACACTACCATTTTACACTACATAATAATGTGGCATTAAACTGCTGTTAGGGATGTAACGCGCAGCCAGGCAATTTGTACAATATACTGTGCTAGTTTTGGCTTATAAACACTTAAGGAATTAAGTTCGTCCTTAATTATACTGTTTTATAAAAGTATAATTCACTTCTCTTGATAGTCGACTAACACTCTACTAGCTGATTTGCATTGTTATTATCGAAGGCTATGGGCGTGAGTGCCTCACCGGATGACAGCCTGCCTAATAACTGTGCGCTATATAATCATATGGTCCCCAAAAAGACCGGAATGACATACACTGTACTTCTACTACCTTGAGACTCAAACCACATACATGTAGGCCTATACCATCGCGTGGAGAATCTTTTTAGAAGAAAAATGGAACCAACATCGCCCGATTCGGTCCAGTAGTTTTTGTTATAGACAAACTAGCTAACTCACAGCAGTATCTGTAAGATACCCCAACACCGATAACGAAATGTGTACAAAACAAAATATATTTAAATATGACACTCCTTAGTGACTAACAACAATTATCTTCAGCTGCCGGCAATATAGTTCTCCAGGCTAATACTAATGCTATTTACAGTATACACTATACACACTGTAGTTACATTCGTTTTCTCATGGCAAAAGTCATTTCAGTAGAAAGTATTTCATAAGGATATCACATTTCAGTTTCAGGATATAATTTTCACAAAACCTCACTAATGATTTGAACTTAATTAGAATGCTGAGGTGCTCATATTTAGGGGTATGTACACGTATAAACTTGTAATTTTGATCGTAATTTGTGTAAACCCAATTATTAGGTCTTTGACGTTTTATTTGGTGATGTCTTTTACCATGTAGAATAGAAAAAAAACAGAATTAAATAATGCTGGATCGAAATCTGACAATCATATCCATTGTCAAATCACAATAACATAAATCAAGTTGTGATTTTTATGAATCAACCAGTCAATCATTTTGACAGCTTGTATGTCATTGCATCATTGAATGTCCCGGCACTACTTTTGAGGGGCCATATCCTGCGTGCTTTTGCTTGCTAATCTTCACATCTGAGGAAGGGAATTGGGATCTCCAAAAGCGGTTACGCTATATAGTCAAAAATCTTTTTATCTTTAGTAACACGTTTTCACAGAAATAAAGCTACAGGTCTCTATTTCTGATCAGCTAATCTAAGGTCACGGTATGCAATCAAGGTTTTGATCCCATCTGATCAAGATGGCCTTTCAAAAGGCTAAGTACGGACAATTGCACAGAATTCATATGGCACGGGGGCAAATGTGAATCCGGCCGTGGACTTGAAGGAGATCGGGGGAGCACCATCGGGTCTCTGGAAGGTGAACTGATGCAGAAGGCCAGTGAAGAAAAGGAAAAGCTCCATCTTGGCTAGCGGTTCTCCCAGGCACATCCGACGTCCTGAAAGCAAATCCAACCAAAAATGTTTCAACATCACTCAGATAATAACCATTCCATTATTCTATGGGGCACAGTTGTACAAAACCATGGTTGTGTATATATGTGGCGTCAACTACATGTAGGGTGAGATTCAAAAGAACATGTATCAGAATGAGTATTTGATTGCCTGTGAGAAGGCCTTCCTTAATAATCCTGCGTAGCATACAATCCAACAGACAATCTGATGGTCTTCATTGTACTGGGAACGAACTCAAAATGTATACCAATTCATGTGTATATCTTATCCGTTTCCCCAAGTTTGGCTGGCAACTGTTGCAAGGTATGTAACCCCGCTCAGGGACACAACAGGGACACAACAGGGACAACACGATCCCCCCAGCAAGGGTTGAATGCATGTTCTGAAGGGTGAGTCCAAAGTTGAGTAGCTTCGATAAGTCCTAGCAACATACTACAGATTTTAAGAGTCACAGATTTACACTCACCTGCACTAAACGGCACAAACTCATCCTTTCTGGTAACGCAACCATCCTTGTCCAGAAACCGCTCCGGTTTAAATAGGTGTGGCTCATGCCACACCTCTGGGTCACGCCCCAAAGCCCAGAAGTTTGGTAGCAGGATGGCTCCTTTTGGGATGGTGTAGCCCATGAGTGTTGTGTCTTCAGCAGCCTTGTGGGGTACACCAAGGGACAAGATCATGCTGATGCGCTGGACCTCAAGAATGGTAGCCTCGGTGTACGGGAGGTTTGGTTTATCAGACATCTGTGGGAGGCGATCCCGACCAACAACAGAGTCAATTTCTGCCTGAACCCGAGCTTGTATCTCAGGGTTAGCCATCATGTACAGAAGACTCCATCGCAGCGTGGAGGCAGTGGTCTCTGTACCTGCAAAGAAGAGGTCCCCTGATGTTGTCATCATGTGGCCCATACCGAGATTCTTATTTTGGGTCCAGTATTTGCTGTTCAGACACAAGTACAGAAAATCTGTTGGGGCACTGTGTGGATCAAAGTCTGCTTGATGCCAGAGGAGGGCTTCATCAACAAAAATGTTGTATTGCTTGGAATGCTGAATAATCTCCCTGAGGGACGGTATGAATCTGGCGATCACATTGACGAACGGCATGAAGAAGAGGACACCGCCTGAGCCAAGAAGTTCAAAGATGCGAATGGTGTGATGGAGAAGCTCCTTGAATTTAGGGTCATTGTAGTCATATCTTGTGCCATACACAACCGAGCAGATGATGTTTGCGAGTGCGTTGCAGAAAAGATACTCTTGTTTCACAGGTTTCCCCTTCGTCTTTTTAAATTCCTGGATCAGTGTGTTGACTTCTTGCGCAATGGAGCCCTCAAAACCCGACTTCCCAATGCTAAAGTCTCGCATGAACCTCAGGACCAAATTTCTCTGAGTCTTCCATCCCTGTCCAGATGCTGTGATGACACCTGTATATTAGAAATACAGGAGGAAGGTGGTGAGGTATTCTTAAAAGGTAGGGTTTTAGGTTTGGTAGTTTGAACATACCAAGTTTGGAGGAGCAGATAGCTAGCTCATATGGTTTGTGGGATAACTGCTATAACTGAGTGGCAGGTGATGGTTTGGTTTGAACGGTGGGTATGGTTTAGTGAGATGATTTCAAGTAGGTCAGTAGCTGTAACTGTAGTCTGTATATAAGTGCAAAGATATTTTAAATGTTTGCAAAGTTTTTTTTTATTAAACTGCAAACCTTTTTTTAGGTGAGCTGTATGATTTTGTGGGGTAAATAACCGCACGATTGATTAAAGTGGACACGTGTGACATGAACATCATTTCAGAGGTCACTCTAGGTCACAGAGAGTTGGTACTGCACATCATCATATATGCTGATGTGCATGGTTCTGGGCAGTGACATGTCAGGATAAATACACAAGCCAGTTCCCCACCTATGCCAGGGCTCTGGGATATCGGAGACACAGGTCGATCATTAAGGAGTGGATTGCTGAAAGCTTTGGAGATTGCCTCGTAGCCATGGAGAACGATGATGCGCTTTCCACCCACCATATCTAGGCGCAGAACAGGCCCATACTTCTTAGACAATCTAATAGCAAACCAAATTAAAAGTATTATTAGATAAAATCCTCAAGTTAATGTTCAACTGCCGGTGAAGAGGGGATGATCAAAGAGTTTGGCAATTATTTGTCAGATTGAAGATGGAACATTTCGAGAGCGACAAAAGGAATCCAGGGATAAATGTTAATTTCAGCAACATGTAGCATATCTGATCTGAGTCACATTTTGTCAGTTTTTTTTTTATTTTGTGGCTATATAAGGCCATGGAGGAATTCCTCCATGATAAGGCCGAGTACTCGTCCAGCCTACTTCGATTCCCAAGGCTTTTTTGATTCAATAAGCACTGAGCTCCAATTAAGTTAATTACTGTTTGTCTACATCATGTGTATACCTCAGAAAAATTTCGTGTGCTTCACCACCACCAGCGGCAATCAGATTTGGCAAGTTGCCAAGTAGTGGCCACGCCCAAGGCCCAGGCGGGAGATTGCGTGTTGATAAATGACGGCGAAGGATCCAAAACACCAACAGGAAAACGCTGACAAAGATTAGAGCTGTGGTGGTGGAGATCCCCATCAGCGAGGTTGCATCAAACATTCCCATCATCATAGCATATATAGCAACTGACATCTATAACAGAGGGGAAAATGGAAAAATGGTTAGGCAAGAATGTTGCATGATCCTCCCTGACGCCACTTCAATTTTTTTCGTCAACAATTAATCTGGACATCGAATGTGGAACTCGAGAAACATTTTCAATATTGATTTTCATGCAACTCTCTATAGACTTTGTACACAACCAAATATGTGGCATCTGGTTTATGGACACTTTTCTGTTGGTCGTGCTTTAACATGTTTAATGTCAAGGTCGCCGTCGAGCCGGTGTAGCATGAATTTAGGTTTTATGAAATACGGACTCATTGATGGTATTGCGCATGCTCATGCATAGATAACTAGGAGAGGGACCGGTCACGTGAGAGGGTTTAACCAATAAAAGGGGAAAAGAGTCCGATTTTCATACGGGTTCGATTTTTATATGACACCGGCCACGTACTACATAATACAACGCTTTCATTTTTTTTCACATCACTTTTGCTGCGCTTACGGTATATTGAAAGTGCGCCCTCTTGTGTTTTACGGAAGTTACACCCCAAATTGCAAAATGGATGCGCGTGACGCGTACAAAAAAATTGTGTAAAAAAACCCAACTCTGTCGTGGACGTTTAAAACACTTTGAGTTTTGAGAAAGTTTATATTTTAAAGTCTGAATTCGCAAACCAAAGGGCACAGTCATGAGTGTCAGTACCTTAAAGTGCCCAGGGGGTCACACTCTGGTCCCCTGGCGTTCCACAGGCGAACGAGCCACCGCCCGCTGTCCCATATGCCTGGCGCACCCGATCAAGGAAGTGTTCTTCGAGCCAGACCAGCGCTCGCAGGAGAAATTCATGACCAAGCTTTTGTTCAGCGTGACCCGGAGCAATTGCCTGGAGTCCCTGGACTTTGAGGCGATGTCTCACGCCTTGACCAAGGACAAGGAGTGGAGGAGCAAGCAGCTGGAGATCATGAGGGGGATACAGAAGGCTCTCATGATGGCCAAGTTTCAACACAAGGTTCGGTATCACGTTTCCTGTATTACAGTTATAACTCTGGATAATGTGGATTGATAATGATATTATGGTGTTTTTTTTTTTTTAGATTTTACGGAAAGATTTCCATATACGAAGTTCACTAATTTTCCTCTGTATTGACTAACAAGCCCCCAGATAGCAATTTCATGTCATCAAAGTCAATCTGAGCAGTGAGAAAATACAAGCATTTTCTTAGAAAACATAATTGTTCAGTCCAATCTCATAGTCATAGGGTTTGTACACAGGGTGTTGAGTGAACTTCGTATGTATGGAAATCTTTCCGATTTTACACTTCATGTGTAGTACTACTACTGGTGGTAGGGCCTTTAGTGTAGGGCTGTCCCAGATAATGTCACGTATGTCGAATACTCAGATATTTTATCATTAACCAGCATGACCATATCATCATGATCATGAACAAATTAAAAATAAAAATTTTAAACAAGCATCTTCACAAAATTCCATTACCAGATCGTTAAAAAACAATGCTATAAAATTACAAAAATGATGATAAAACATGAATCTGGGACTTTCCAATTTTGTTTGTAAACGCTTAGAAAATTGTCTTGACTCTCCATATAGACTTTATGGCGTCAGGTTGCAACATTTTTTCCCTTCCTTTTGAATTTAGACTAATGAAAAAAGCCTACAATGTACATCCCTCAGTAAAATTAATTTCTGTGCTGGTTTTAGAAGATGGGAAATATTCTTTTGAATAATATTTTTGTATTCGCAAGATTAATGTGTCACTGTATTCCTTCTATTTTGTCATCTCACAGGTTACGTTTTTCAAGAAGCTTACTCAAGACAGAATTCCTGTACCACTTGAAGAACAAGTAAATATATATCAATCTTTCATCCAGTCTGCTGACAAAAGAAAGCGTTGAAGTATTGTATAGTTTGGTATCTGAAGATCAGGGCTCAAAAAAGATAATGCTTTGCAAATGTATGTAATTTATGTATGAAGCAAAATTAAGCTGAGAGAAAGTCACACAAGTCATTTACATTTCGTGACATTTTGGCTGCCATTGAAAAAAATCTCTGTTTGGTCAGAGAATAATGTCTTTTAAAACAGATTTCCTTACTTCAATAGCTGGTTTATAATATTTGGCCTTTTACATAGTGAAATCTCGATAAGTCAAAACCTGCTAACTCACAGACCCTTCTTACTCAAAGTAAAAACTCATTTCCGTCAATTGTTGAATAGAAAATCCATTGGATAACTCAAAACTGTGCTAAACTCAAAATTTTGAGCCAATCCCCCTGAAGTTTGACTTATTGAGATTTCACTGTACAGTACATTGTACAAATGTATGTGTACGTGAACTTCAAATTGACCAGAATTTCTATAACCAGGGTCACAAGAGGTGAAAGAGAACTTTTTCATCACACAAGTTTCAATTGCAGTATTTTTTGATTTACCAAATTTTCTCCATCGTTTTGAAGAGTGTAACTTTTCTTTCTTTCATTTTTCTTGAAGGCTAAAGAGAAAGGTTCTTTGAGAGAACGCTCGTTTCAAGGAAGTCTTTAAGTCGATATGCAGTTTTTGTTTGTGTGCTTGATTCTCGACTTTTGTCTTTCAATACCTTTTTTTAGCGAACTGTTGAATGGCGACCCTTTGTAAACCTATTAATTGAAGTCGGCATATTGGACATCATTATTCTGCTGTTGAAGCTTCGCGTGCCTAATCCAACAGATGAGGTAACATTTTTGACTGGTACCGGTACATTAACCTGTTTTTTTTTTTTCGCTATTACTTTTAACCCCCACCTTCCCAAATCCTCTTTGCAGAATAGAGGATTTTACAGGATTGAGGTTATGGCAAAAGTGTGTGGCTGATTTTGGAGCGATGCACTGTTTCAAGGTCTTAGGCCAGACCTTGTATTGTTTATGCGCAGCCGTGCATGAATTTAGGCCTAGATTATACTTGAAATCCTCGGCACTGCTCCAGGATGTCACTGGCTCTGCCTCAACATACTGACAGTGATTTCCGCAGGATTTTGCAGGATTGAGGCAGTGGTCACCCCTCCAAGGACCACATTCAAGAAGTAACAGAGGATTTTGGAGGATTGAGGTTGTATGCAATCTTTACATGGATGCAGTTGGAGGATTTTGCAGGATTTAGGTAACATCTTAGCAAAATGCATAGGAAGTTAGGGTTAAAGGGAAGATACAACATTTGCAAACATCAAAAAATGAAATTATCAAATTATCACGAAATACCTTACTGGATTGTTAAGGAATGACAGTCTGAAGCATCCTGCAAAATCGTGGCTCCTTGTGTGCTGACATTTTCAAGAAAAAATGTATTTTTCCAATGCTGGTCAGCCGACCAGCGTTGGAGAAAACTGGCTTTTTTTAAAAACTGCTCCTATTTTTGTTTATTTAGCATTTTCTTTACAGTTGATTACACACATGTGAAGGGGTACAAGCCAGCTAGACTGATTCTCTGAACTCACAATTCCCCAAAGTCTATAAATTGCTCCGTTTCATCTTAAGTGGAGTCAGGGAACCAGACTACAAGAACATAATTGGTTTTCTTGGTTTTTCCAGCATCTACAACCCCAAAACGTGAAACAAGTCAGTTTAACAATATTTGCTATAACATACTAATCCTCCAAATCCATTTATTTCTGAAAATTGCAGCAAAAGCAAATGTTGTACATTCCCTTTAATGCAAAAATGTGCATAAAGCTTCATTCATAAATACCAAAGATAGTTCACCCATTCCTATTGGTCGAGAGCAGTCACATGGTGGTTTTAATTTTGAAAAGACAGTACACGCCGCGTGCAATCCAATTACCATATTAAGCAGCTTTTTAGCACTACTCGCGTGTAGCACAGACATGTACACAGACATGGCCAGAGGGTGTCAACACTGTTGAACAAAATGATTGGAAATTTGTAAATTTTTGGCTTGTTTGACTTTTTGAGCGAAAGGTACATGTATTTGTGAATGGAAATATATGACTGCTTGGCTGGTATTAAACAAGTACGTTTAAAACAGGCCAGGGGTCAGGCGAGGGTCATTATCCGTGCCACACCCCAGGCCAATTCTAATGCATTGTTTAAAACTGGCCCAAAGCATTTTATAAGAGCTGCTATCTACAAATTTTGCCTGGCACAAATGTATGCACAGAAATGCGCTTAGCAAAAACTGGTTAAAACCCACTAAAACTGCATGAGATGTACATGGTAATGATAATAATGGTAATAATTTATTCTTATATATGCTTAGCTCATTATTTTAGGCAGTATTTATTTTAAGCAATGTTTCCTGCTCCGAGACAGCTCCACGAGATTTGACGCTGGTCTTTTTTTTTCTTCTATTTTGTAGACGGACAGTCTGGGCGATCCTTGGCAGGCTATCTATTATTTCTGTCTGGACATCATGGCCAACATCATGCTGTCCAGCCACTGGGAGAACCCCAAGGCTAAGAAGTTCCTCCACAAGATCGCCAAGAGCGAGTTTGTGGATGTGGCTATGGCCTTTGTTGATGGTAAGCATAAAGACAAAGTTAATAACAGCTTATGAAAAAAAAGATCAGAGAAAAAGTGCAATTAAAGATATAGTCCATCATTTGTAATTTGTGCATTTTGTTCGTTTGAAGGAACAAAAGTGCTCAAAATCTAAAGAAGGGTACTGAACAACTAACCTGATGAAGTTTCAGCTCAGCTTCAGCTGTACATTCCGAGAAAAACAGCATTCTAGGATCTCAATTTCAAATCAAAAGTTGCTGAATTATGTTTTGAAGTGGACGGGAATTCAGCGTCCGAGACACATTCTCACTGAGCTTATTGCAGCTACGCGATGTTGCGCACTGACCCGACGAATTATAGCAACCATATTTCTACTAACCGAAATTTCCAATGGTGCGTCGTAAGAAGCACCATTGGAAAGGCCTTCTTTCGTTGATTACTTCAAAATTAAAGCTTGCCAGAAAGAATAATTTCACAGGGAGATTAGTCCCCTTACTATTTCTCAACCAAGTATGTTTTTCAACAATAATTATGCCAGTTACTTTTCGGATAGCTGCAAATGATGGACTATAGCTTTAAATGGCTTCGCTAATACCGTAAGTAACTTAAAATTCCTTGTTTAATAATGAAGCAAAGAAACCAATCGGCATATGTACATGTAGTTCTCTATAGATGATACACTCGCCTCCTCGTGAGAGCGCGAAATATTTCCTGGAGGGAACATAAGGCAAAGATGGAAATGTACGGCAGCATCCCACCTACATTGTATCTCCACAACAGTAGCACAACGTAGAGCCCGCTTTGCTGGCCACTGCTGTAGAGCCAAAGAGCAAGTTGTCTCTGACCTCATCTGCTGGAGATTGCCTTGCCCCAACAGAGGGAGCAGACCCCTCAACTACGTTGACACTGTATGCAATGATGTAAAAGAAGAAGTGATTTTTCATCCGTTCCAATGGCACTATACCTATTTGTGCATGCAGCGCATCGGGAAGGGGGGGCGGGCCCTAGTGTGTATGACCGTCTGTGTGACTCTTCCATTCATAAAAAAAGGGTGTGCAACATAGTGATAATATAAATATCCCTTTCAGAGTCATAATTTTAATGCTTTCATGTTTCTACAAACATTTTTCAAGCTATTGTTCCATAGCAAACCAATGTTAGTCAACTGTATTCTAGAAAAGAATCTGTATTTGCTTTGTTCTATCATGCAGTGAATCCTGCACACCGCCACGTGCTCGCATGCACTTACCGTGTAGTAGCACCTTCAATCACGCCCCTATAATTTCCCTCACAAAAACGATCTATTTGTGGAAACGCTTTTGAAACATTTCGTTTTTATTCCTTGAAAGGATCATTTCAGGTCGCATCTTTACTCCGTAGTACATTGAATTACATTTTGGTCAGTTGGCAAATCTTTACTGTGTTCAGAACAAGTTAACGCTGAGCAGTGCTTACCAGCGTCATGAAGTACAGTTCCGATTTCCTGTTCAATCAAATTGATTTCGCTCTTCCGAATCACCTTACAACTGTAACCGAGTAATCTGCTTATTGCCTGCAGAACCGAAGCATTTTCTAGCCATGGTCATGTCCGTCTACGACCTGTGCCACGTCTTTGAGGAGCACGCTATCGTGGGACTGCGGCTGGCCAAGTCCCCGCTCCTGGCCAAGCTGGGCATCTACATCCACAAGGACAACAGCGTCCGCATCATGAACCGCTGGATGAACCTGGGCGTCTTCAACTACGAGGTGGAGGTCATGATGGAGAACCAGGCCGGACTGCTGCCCATGCGCAGCATGTCGGCCTTTGACGTTAGCGAGCCCATGGAGTACAGTGATGACGACATTAAGGACGTGGGCATACAGTTTGCCAGCTCTTTGCAGCAGAGCAGCCTGCAGACTGTGGGCTATGTAAGGATTTATTCAACATATTATGCATATTTATATGGGCATTGGCCAGCATTGTGCAGTGTCCACACTTTGTTTCACAACGCCTCATGCATATTCATGAGGACATTGGTATACAGTTTGCCAGCTCTTTGCAGCAGAGCAGCCTGCAGACTGTGGGCTATGTAAGGATTTATTCAACATATTATGCATATTTATATGGACAATGGCCAGCATTGTGCAGTGTCTACACTTTAATTTGTTTCACAACGCCTCTTACATATTCATGAGGACGTTGGCATACAGTTTGCAGTGTGTGGGCTATCTAAGGATGCATGCAAAATATGCATATTTGTTTGGACATTGGTCAGCATTGTGCAGTGTTACACTTTGTTTCACAACGTCTCATACATATTCATGAGGACGTTGGCATACAGTTTGCCAGCTCTTTGCAGCAGAGCAGCCTGCAGACTGTGGGCTATGTACGGATGTTTTCCAAATATCATGCATATTTATAAGGACATTGGCTAGCATTGTGAAGCAGAGTAGTCTGCAGTAAGGCTATGTTAGGGACTTTCAAACACCTTACATATTCATAATTACATCAGCAAACATTGTGCAGTGTCTACACTTTGCTTCCAAACACCTCATGCATATTCATGAGGACGTTAGTGTGGAGTTTGCCAGCACCTTGCAACAGTGCAAAGTGAAGTGAAAGGAGTGTCAATGCAAACACCTCATGTATATTCATGAGAATATTGGCACCCTGCGGGAAAAGTAGTCTGCAGTGTCTGTGCTATGCATACCCAGCCGGGTACATATTTTCTCATGCCAGCACATTGTAACAGTGCGCTATGGAATACATAAGTCGTTTCTGTGTTTACATGTCTTCCACTACAGTTTGCCAAGGACAAACAAGTCAGAGCAGTTGTAACAAAGGACCAGATTGTTGGAAAGGTGAGCAGTTGTAACTTTGAAGACTAATAAACTAGGACTGAGATTTATGAAAAATAACCTGGTTCAGTTAGTCGTGACGAGTGCGTTCAAAAGTTGTACCAAAATATGAAGATGACTAGGGGTGTGCATCAAGTACTGCAGATGTCAGGAACCGGTTCCAGATTATGGGATCGGGTACCCGTAAGCTACTTTACAAATTACTTGGTAACTTCTCAGACAATGAAGAAAGAAAAGTTTCGAATGTTATTTGCGGAGAAATTTCAAAATTGCACACCACTACTCTGAAGTGATACATGTACTTTCTCCTGAGAAAACTTTTGTTTGAACAAAGTTGTTACTGGTCAGTCTAGGAACTGGGCCCAATTTCATGGCTCTGCTAACCACAACGTTCCATGCTTACAATCACCATTTTGTGCTAACCCTGTAAGCAAAGAATCCTTGGTTACGGGATTTACGCGGGCATAAGCCAAAATTCCTCGCTAACGTGTGAAATACGCTTACCCGTAAGCACAGAATTTTCTGCTAAAGTAAGCAGGGATTTTTCACTAACGGTAAGCAGACCAAGAAATTGGGCCCTGATCTCCCTAACGATTCCCAACCAGTTGTTGGAATCTGTTAGGATGAGTACTGCACTGGTAAACTGACGGGCTTTACATGGGATTAGGCACACCACAAATAAACAGAGTCCAACTGTTTATGTGCACAGTTCACCATATGGTGTTGGGATTTGCAAGGATGAGGATGGTTTTAGTAAATCACCTTAGGGAGCTAGGGTTAAAGCTCCAAAACTGGTTGATAATTGACATGATGAGCAGAAAATGAATGTTGGGTCCAAAATATTTGTAGCAAATATTGACCAGACCAGATACATGCAGCATTTCCACATTTTGTAGATCCGGCTCTTTTTAGAGTACGCCAAATTCACCCTCGCTTTTGTTTTTCCCAATGTGGTGTCCATTCGTAATTCATTGAATTCATGTAGCGATCGATGATTATGATATCCTTTCCGCAGGCAATTGGTCGTTGGGTGCGCATGCCGGTTCTGTCCCCCGAGAATCGTTACATGCTGGAAGCCTGCCTCAAAGTGTTGGCCGATATGGCCTACTTGGAGTCCTATGCTTGGAAATTACTGGACGAATATGACTTCTTGCCGCTCCTGGAGAACGGAGTTTTCTATGCGGAAAAGGACGTGGTGTGGCACTACTTAGAAGTTGCCACTCGGATCGGCATGCACCGGGGGCAGCTACTGAAGAGAATTGTGGAGAATCCAGTGAGTCGTAACTTCATTCATCAAATTTTTTTTCAATTTTTTCTTCTTCTACATAACATTTAACCTTACATTTTTGTAATTCAAGTTGGCACAAGTCCAACAATCACTGTAAGTAAGTTGAGAAGCGACATGGGAAAAAATGTTGCAATCAATTCCGTGATTGTGTACAGAGTCTATGGAGAGTCAAGAACATTTTCAAAGTATTTCCTAACAAAATTTGTAAATCAAATTATAGGTTTTGCCCTTTACCGACGTTTGCACTAGAAAGCAGGAGGTCGTGGGTTCGAGTCCCACCCGAGTGATTTTTTTCAACTTTCACTCGGGAGGTAACACACTGAGTATACAGTGTTCAAACGTCGGTGCAGGGCAAACCTATAATTTGAAAATTTGAAAAGTTTCTCCGTCCCAGATTTATGTCTTATCATCATATGAATGACCTTCTTGAATTTTTGCTATGAATGACCTCCATTGAGATGATATATGAAGAAAAAAAGTGGCGTCAGGTTGCAACATTTTTTTCGCGACATGTAATGTATTCAAATGGAATTGCAACAAAGGCTTTCCTTTGATATTGTCCGTTCCTAATGGCTTATTATAGGATTGACTTCATCAAATTTCAAGGTATATGGGATCATTTGCTTTTCATGCCTTTTGTTCATTTCTAAATAACACCGCTAAAACAAATCCGAAGAAGAATGTTCAAAACCTAACCTGTTGCAGTTTCACCTCAGCAGATATTACACTCTTCGAGAAATCAGTAAAAAACAAATGCAAGTGCAATCTTTTGATCACAAAACTTGATTGTCTTTGGAATTGTTATATTTTCAATGATCAGTCAATTGACTGATCGTTGGAAATCACCCACATTTCTTGATTTCTTCTAAATGTCAACAAAAAGTCAAACGGAACAATTTCACGGGGTGTTTAGTACCAGTATGGTCTTTAAAGGAAAAATACAACATTTGCAAACATCAAAAAATAAAACTACCAAATCATTTTGAAATACCTTGCTGGACTGTTAGTGAATGACAGTGTAAAACATCCTGTAAAATCATGGCACCTGGTATACTGTCATTTTCAAGAAAAGTGGTATTTTTGTATCAATTTCCAACGCTGGTCGGCCGACCAGCGTTGGAAAAAACTAGCTTTTTTTTCAAATACTGGCCCCAATTGACCATCGCACTTGTTTGCAATCGATTACACACCTATGAACGGGTACAAGCCAGCTAGACTGGTTCCCTGACCTTACAATTCCCCAATGTATGTAAACTGCTCTGTTTCTTCTTATATGGAGTCAGGGGACCAGACTACAGGAAAAGGATTGTTTTTCTTGGTTTTTATAGCATTTTCGAACCCAAAACCTCAAAAAAAGTCTGTAACTATATTTGCTATATATTTCCAACCCCCCAATTCCATCCATTTCTGAAAATTACAGCAAAAGCAAATGATGTACATTCCCTTTAATCCAAGTAAGATTTTTTGATAATAATTTGGTAGGTTACCATGATTACTATTGGGATATTGCAAATGTTCCTACATGTACCGGTAAATGCCTTTAATTACATGTAATTTAAAATATGTAAGCTTTACTCTAATCAATACCAAATACAGTAAACATCTTTCAAATTTTAAATGGGGATGGGTTTACATTTCATGACGAAATCATATGTTTACCGCGTAATTTATGTTAAACACAAGTACTTTAGCACAAACCTTTAAAGGGAATATACAACATTTGCAAACATCGAAAAATAAAACTACCAAGTTTTTACAAAATACCTTACTAGGATGTTGGTAAATGACAGTCTAAAGCATCCTGTAAAATTATGGCACCAGGTGTGAAGTCATTTTCAAGAAAATTGTATTTTTGTATGCATTTCCAACGGTGGTCGGCCGACCACCGTTGGAAAAACCTAACTATTTTTCAACTACTGCTCCAAATTTACCCTTTTTTTCAGTCTAAATTGTGTTTGCTATTTGTTACATGTTCATTAACAGGTGCAGAGCAGCTAGACTGGTTTCCTTACCTTACAATTTTCTGGCATCTATAAATTGATCCATTTTATCTTTAGTGGAGTCAGGGAACCAGACTACTTGAACATTTGTGTTTTTCTTAGTTTTTCCAGCATTTTCGAACACAAAATTTCAAACATATCAGTGTAACAATATTTGATCTATTATACTAACCCCTCAAATAGTTCATTTCTGAAAATTACAGCAAAAGCCAATGATGTACATTCCCTTTAAACCCAAGGTTGTTTGGTGGTAAAAGGAATGGGCCATACAGTATCATCCACAGTTCCTGACAGATATCCTAGTAACAACATATCCTAGTAACAACATTAACCCAGTTGACTTCATCTTACTTGCAATCTGTAGAAGATAATGCGGTCAGCAGGCATTCACATGTACAGTCTGGATGTCAACATTAACATCTATGCCACGGCTCTTCTAGCGTTGGCCGTGGATAATCCCGGAGTGGAGTACATCATCAAGTACTTCGGCCCCAGACACTTCTACTATTATCCAGATTATTTTTTCAGTAAGGTAGGTGAAAAACAGAGATTCTAGAACCTTTGTTTATCATTTGTAAGCAAGGAATTTCTAATTTTGATTATTTAGGATGTTTGTGTACATAAATATAATTGCATTTGTTCTCCCATTTATTTCTGTCTTAGACACCTAAAATTGGTATTAAAATTGCCGAGCTCCAAACTGGATGCAAGCGTTTTGGAAAAAGGTGAGTTGTAAATGTTTGTTCAATCAGTTGGCAGTTTTTATACACAGGCACGCTTTTATGCACGGTTGACAGGTTGAAATGTCAAGATTGGATCGACTCGCCTCCGGGTGACGTCTAAAGATGCTAATCCCTCAGGTCTTTTGTACACACACACAAAATCTGTGAAGTCTGTGGAGGCAGACCGTGTGTTGATCTTGAATTGGCCGAATGCACGACCCATTGTTCTACAATTTCTGCTACAGTGTACACCTCGGAGTATTGAAACATATGAGGTTTTATCAAGAAATATCGTACAAATACTGTTGAAATTACTCTGCAAATTGGTATTTGTGGCGTTTGGCTGTATATCAGAAGTTTGCGAACAATTTTGCCTTTTGTGAAAATAGAAATTTTCTTCAAAAATAATCCCGGCGTGAAGTGGTTAAATACACCAAGTGCTACCCCCCCCCCCTCCTCCAAACCGCACCCTCCACCCACCCCAAGTTCTATCCTTCTTGTCAAATGGATTTTTTTTTTTTTTCCTTTTCGGAATTGTCCATTAGTGGGTTGCCCAACACCAACATAATTTATGTTGACACTGAATTTTCCGAGAGCTTGTGAGAAAATTGACAACCTCCTGAGGTGCCTCACTAGCATGACTGGAGCAGATGTCTTAACTACCCAACCACTGAGCTTGCTGGGGTCAGCTGACTGGTTCAAATCTGATGGATGCTAGTTATGCCACTGAAAAACATCCAATCAAAGTCGCTGCATAGTAAAGAAATGAACCTCATTGACTGCAGTATTTCGCGCTTCAATCCTTTTATTTTTCATCCCCGTAACTCACACAGCTGCCGGCTATACGTTGCCCTTGGGCATGCCACTTCACCCCAACACTTGCCTCTCTTGCCTCTATAAATGGGTACCAGCATTAGCTGGGGAGTAACCTACCATGGACTGGCATCCCATCTGGGCATTCCGGGGGGAATAGAAATATTCTCAGTCGTTTCATGCCGCTGAAACCAGAGATAAATGCCAGCCTGATAGGACATATTGGCTAGTGACAGCCATACCTCCTCCACAGCGAGTCTGTTACCTTCCCAGCATTGAATAATGCCGGTACCCATTTAACACCTGGGTTGAGAGGAGTAATTGAGGTAAAGCGCCTTACTCAAGACCACAACACGCATGGCCACACCGAGACTCGAACCACAACCTAACAATCATGAATCCTGTGCTCAACCGCTGGACCACACGTGCCCACTGTTTGTGTTTTTGTTTACCCACGCAGAGACTACGATAAAGCGGAGAAGGAATTCCGGAAGATCCGGAACCTGACTCTGGACGCCACCAAAGCCACCAAACTGAAGGAGGAAGGCAACCAGATGTACAAAAGCGGCCAGATGCAGGAGGCCATTAAGCTGTACACTCGGGCCCTCAGTGTCTGCCCGCCCACCAGACCTGATAAAAACGCCCTCCGGAAGAAACTGGAAATACTAGAAATTATGCCCAATTGGTAAGACAGATGGATGGTTTGGGTGTTTTGTAGAGCTGCGGGTAGCAGCTCAACAAATCATCCCGTCTCTCCGTTAGTTTAAGAGTTTAACCAGTTCGTGCCGGAGGCAAAATTTTGGCAGTATTGGAAACGAACGACAGATAAACACGCAGGGAGTGAGGCCGGAAATATCTGTCAGCGACCCGCTCGCAGCGAGCGAGGCCGGAAATGTGAGTGTGCTGCCCAAGGGTGATGGCTTCAACCCGCCTGGCTTGTGGTTGAGTGAAAAGTAATCCTGCGCCTTGTTCCGTTCTTGTCAAAATAATCCCGGTGTGAACTGGTTAAGTTTGTTAGTTAGTAACAAGCATTGACATTGTCTATTGCTCCCACATATTTTGAGCGATTTCAACCAAACTTTGTAAAAAGTTTCAGTCGCCCAGCCCCAACATGTCACATGACCAAACTGGGGTCAAGGTCATCATGTGGTCACTGGGGTCAAAAAGCCAAAAAACAATTTGTACTAAAAACATTACTCCTTCCAGAAATTACATTGCAAAATCAAGTGACTCGCGTTGGCAATCACGTTTGCATGCAGCTTGCGAGATCCGATCATCGCATATTTTTTTGTCAAATACGAAAGATGGCAATGACATGCATTTATCAGTAAAGCATTGTGCATTATCAATGTCTCTGACATATATATTTCGGGAGCGGGGATATCTTTTTTTATTGAGAAAAAGTCAGGCTAGGTATGTAAGTGTGAAGTTGTATAGTTTTATTACTAATTTTGTTTTCTATTTTGGCATTCTGCATCCCTCTAAAAAAAGGTTACTTTTACACTTAAACAGGCCTGGGCCCAATTTCATAGCATTGCTTCCCAGTAAGCAGAAAAGTTGTGCTTACTATAACCGAAAATCATGCAGCTGCTTAAAGCACTATTTCATGCTAACGGTTGCACGCGCATGGAGATTTCTATTGTTACGTCACTGATTTAAGCAAAGTTTTCTTCTGGGGTTAAGCGTGCTTTTGCTGTGCTTACTGCTTAATAACGATTCCTATGAAATAGATGGAGGCTCGGTAAGCACAAAGTCGGCTGTTAAGCAGCGCTATGAAATTGGGCCCTGCTGCATGAGTTCACTAGTTCCTGATCCCTTGGTGACCTTGGGAACTTGGTGACCATGTGAGGACTGAATTATTGCCAAAGCCACAAGTACTTATATTCCCTGAATCAAACTGGACAAATTTCTAGAAAATTTACACAAACAAAAAAACAAAATACTTTGGGGTCAAAACTCGAAACGCAGTCATAGACTATGAATCTGTCCATTTCAAATTTGCATCAGATGTATTTTATAAGGGCCCGTCGCCATTTATATCTGGGACGAGTTCCGGACCAAGTTGGGGACACTGGTATCGAGTATAAGTTGCAATCTTCCCGCAAGGAAGTTATCAGTATTGGTGGGTCAAGCAGTTCCTAATGAAAAGTTCCCCGGAACATGTCCAGGACAAATGCAGAGCTTTCTTCCGTACAAATTGAATGATTCTACTTGTTAGGGCCCGTGACCATTCAGCCCCGGTATGAAAAGGGCCCCTCAGTAAGCTCGTCCCCTCCCAAGAAGTCCTCTCGTACCGTCCCAGCTACTGGCCCAGGAGCTGGTCCGGTTGCTAATCAGGAACTCCTCTATCCTGGGGTCTATTGTTTGCAAGTATTGACACATGTAATATATCCCAGAAGAAACCCGCTTGTGGTTTTCGTCTCTCGGCTCGAAACAATAGAACACTTTCGTCGGCACAGATCAAAACCCCTGCCATGTGGTTTCGCGCACAATGGGACCGTAAATTACCAAGGCGTTATGGAAGGATTTTTCTTTAATCCGGTAAAAGTCTGCTATTGTTCTGCTCTGGACGTTCTCTGAAGGGCAATAAATTGATGCGCCTGACTGACTTCAAAACTTCTGGTCAGACAGGACCATGTACCGGACGAGGCTGGGCTGAAGACCGGACTGGCTCTGGACCGGACGAGGTACCGGGGGGCCCTTTTCATACCAGGGCTGAATGGTCACGGTCCCTTACTTGGCCGGAACTCGTCCCGGATATGAATTGCGACAGGTTCTTAGTTGAGGGCGGTATTCGCCTTTGACCAATGACTATTTTTTTTGTTTCAGGTCTCCTCTACCAGCCACCTTATTCAATAACCGTGCACAGTGCTATCTGAGCCTAGGGGAGTATGAATTAGCTGTGGAGGACTGCGACGAAGCCATTGCACGGACTTTTGGAGGTCAGTCACTTGACTTTGGACACAATTTGGACATATCTTTGGTGTTAAGTCCACTTTGTTCAAATCTTTGAATCAATTTCACCATCTTGATGACATCTGTAATCAACTTCAGGTTCAACTTTGACCAAATTTGACTTACTTTGAGCAAAGGTTAAAATATAGTTTGATTCAACGAAAATATCTTTAATTTTTCAACTATTTTGACCACGACCTATCTCGGTTTGGAACGACTTCTGACAGTTTGGAAACAGTTTTGACACATTTTCTTACTGAACAAAAAAGTAATACATGTATTGGCCAAAATGATACTTGACCTCTTTATCATTGGCAGTAACTGGATTTTAGCGAGATGTTTATTCAGGCTACAGTAGCTTTGGTGAAGTCATTGATTGAAACTTTTTCAAAAAGTCATAATTGCTTTTAAATATCATTTGCTTCGTTGATGAAAGACACATTTTCCAGTTTGTTTCAATGTCTGCCTGCTTGTTTTCATTTTTTCCCTGCTTCTGGTCAGAGGCAATTTTTCAAAGTTTCCAAAAAAATTGACTTATTAACAATTATCCCTGCGCACAGATTTCTTTTGTCCACTGAGTGGCTGTGGTTTCCATATCATAATAATGATGCTTATATAGCACTTTATACCGACACCAAAGGTCCCATTTAAGCACTTCGCAATTATTACCCCCGTTTTTTATCAGGCAATGAGACCAGTTTCTGCAGCAGCTCGAGATCGGCCTATTCTAGTCTCTACCCTCACAGGTACCCATTTGTACTCCTGGGTGGAGTGAGGCAATTGTAGTCAAGTGTCTTGCCCAAGAACACAAGCACCATGTTCCCCTCTCAGAGTTCGAACCCACGTACCACGACACATGAGTCAAACACCATAACCATTGGACCATAGTGCTCCTCAATGCTATTTCAAATAAAATTTAGCAACATTGGCGTGGCTGAAGTTATTAATTTTTTTCTTAATTTTTTTTTTTTTTTGGTGTGGTTTTTTTTTTGGGGGGGGGGGGGTAGGCTATGATCCTGATGACCGTTCGCTGCCGGATACTTTAAGGCTGAAGGCGATGTTTCGTCGCTCCAAGGCCCTCTACGAATTGGGACAATACTTCAGAGCTGTCCAAGACGTTGGTGAATGTCAGATTAATCAGCCATCAGAGACATTTAAAGCACATCTTGATAAGGTAAGGAACAGTTTTTGTGGCACTTAAACGGTTTGCAGGGATCCCACCATTGTGGAAAAATCCCGGAAAACCCTGCCTGTTACTCCCTGTACCGCCCTTTCCAAGCATTCTGTGGTTTCATATGCATTCATCAGAGAATACAATGTAATGCGAGTGCTGATGGGTTTAATCTTAAATAGGGTGGATCTTTTGTCGTGCTTTTTTTGGTTTGATTCAAGAAAAGTGCTCATATCTAAAGACGGGTGCTTAACAACTAACCTGATGAAGTTTTAGCTCTGTGAATGCTGTATATTCCGAGGAAACAATATTCTAGGATCTTGTTTTTAATTCAAAATTTGCCCAGTCATGTTTTGACTTGCCTTCAAAATCAGCTAATCCTCTTGCAGCTAAGTGATGTCACGTGCTGAACTGACGAATAATAGCAACCATGTGCGCTGTGTCAACGCTTGCGCGCACCCATTCACGGATGCGCCGAATCACAAAACCAACTACAAACAGAAATTTCCAAAGATGTGTCACTTTATGACGCATTGTTTGAAATGGCCTTCTTTCATTGTTTTCTTCAAAATCACAGCATGCCACAAGGAATAATTTCACAGGGAGTTTAGAGCCATCACTATCTTTAAACCAAGTATGCTTTTCATCAATACTTTTGTCAGTTACTTTTTTGATAGCTGCAAATGATATATTCTACCTTTAATTCATGATGTCATACAATGTACATGTATCTGCTTTGAGTTTAAGTAGAGGACTTTAAAAGAAAGAACAAAAGTTTGAACCAAAATTGTTGGTGAGTGGATTACAGGTATTTGCTAACCAACGTCCGTGAATGGGTAACGTGAAAGTAGCAAACGGAAAAAATAACGATGTCTTTTGCTTTGTGGGTTCAGGTGATGATGCGTTTCCGAAGCATTATGGGAATGGACCCCGTCCAACGTTGCGACGAGTGCCGACAAACTAACGGTTTCAAGTTGAAGCGATGCGCAAATTGCATGGCCATTTATTGCACCAAGAAGTGTCAGGAAGTGGCGTGGGTCAAGCGACACAAGGTACAATTAACCCCAACTCCCTAGCGTCTTTGACTAGGAACTGGACCAAGTCCATCAAAATCCATCAATCACTGTGCTTCCAGTGTAAAACTGAGCATGACATAATGGAATCCACCACTGATGCACTGGTTGACATTCATGGACTTGCTAAACGTGGCTTTTATCACAGTAGCACTACGGGAAGCTAGGCAAAATCAATCGGATACCCCTAGCACTGCTTCAGGCCATTAGGCCCAAGTTCATCGTACTCCATCACTTTTTAGTCACGCCAGGCCTCCTGGACCAAGTCCCCCAAAATCCACCAAAATGGGGGGGGGGGATGGATTTTGATGGAGTTGGGGTGGTTATGATTAAGGCCGGTGCATACTTCACGTGATGGCGAACTTAAAAAAAGATTTTAAACTTAAAAAAAGTTGACTTTCAAAGAAACTGACTTGAGAAGGTTTTGAGCCTGGGACCACCGGATTGCCATTCAGGTGCTCAACCAACTGAGCTATCCAGCCAAATGTTTGGCGGTTCCCCAGTTTGTCGATGTCTTTGTTCATGAAACAAATTTGACCTCAGCAAACAGTCGCTGCGAAATTTGCCAGAGTTGAAATGTTTTAAACTTTTGCAGTGCCATCAAATTTGGCCGATGGCCATCACCTTTTGCTTTAGGTATGCCAATTATGTAATTACTGGTTTTGGGTGAAGGACATATTTAAAATTCTCCCTACCCTCCCCCCCCCCCCCCAAAAAAGAAGGGGTGGGGAAAGAAGCCCTCCCCTAAAGAAAATGTTGAAAAGATTACACTATCTATATTCCCCATGTGTCAAATAATGTAAGCCCCTTCACGTATGCTTTCTTATTCCCCATAGTGAGAACATTTTCTAGAAGTTTTCTTGATAAACCCTAACCAACCAACCACCACTGCCCCCCCCCCCCCCCACCCCATGAACATTGTTCACTTCTCTGTAGAGGGCATTCTCTAGTTTTAGTGACGTACTCCCTCCGCCAAACCACCTGCCTGTTAGTCTTGAAATTGCTCCAAACCTCCCCACCAGCACTCTGTGATTTTGTTGGGTTTTTTTCCTGGTAAATGTAATGTGGTAAATGTAGTGTGCCATTTGGGTTGATCAATTCCATATTATTCATTCCAGGTCAATTGCCAAGAATATCAAGCAGAGAAGGAAGCCAAGAAGAAAGAAGCCTTGACCAACGGTGTGGCTACGGCTAGACCTAATGGCAACATGGACCTGGACTAGACACGGCCTCAGTCATAGCCGTACAGACCACGATCCCATGCCAGAGCACTTAAGCTCTACAGACTATTCCTCAACTTTCCCATATCAAGAAATATAAAATTCGGCTTTTAAACACATCACACACTTATTGCCGTGCATAAATTGCATTAAACTTTTTTTCTAGGACTATTTGGGGGACAATTGATAAGTTTTCGAGGATATGTGTGCAAACTATATTTCAAGAAGTACATGTATAATATTTTAAAACAAAAGTGTGGAGTACGTGTACGTTACCTTTTAAGCACAGTGAAGGAAAGGCTGTGATTTTGCATAGATAACAGGATTTCACGTGATTACAGTTGATATTTTTGTAAACTAAATTTGATTTGATATTGATTCTGTAAAGAAAAGACAATATTGTGATTTCACCAAACGAGTGTTAACTCAGAATGAACTGATACATGGTTGTTTCTCAAAATGATCTTTGTTATTAAAGGAAAACTGAATTGCTCTGAAATAGAAGTTTGATGTACACATGTATCAGGCAGATCAGTTAGTTCGTATAAGTGGAGAAGAGACTGATTTCAGCTTGTGTGGCTTTTCATTGCATTGTACATTGCTGTGTGTATCACTGAAATGTTAACATGTACAAAAGTATGAAAAAGTAACCACCAGGCATGCAACTTTTCCTCGGATCTGCTGATTTCCTCGTTTTTTACTTCTCATGAATGCCATTACAAATTGAAAAACACTGTACAAAGTCTTTTGTGGTAAGGAATTTCCTCGTTTTTTCTAAATATTCAGTTGCATGCCTGAGTAACATTTAAGATTTTTTTTAAAAAAGGGTTAGCATGAACTTCTCCAGTAACCCTCCTTTGCAAACAAACATTCTGTGCCAAGTAGTCCGTTCAGTTAAAATCAATCAAGTGACTGTTTTCAACAGTTCAGAATTCCCAGCCTACATGAAGCAGGATTGACTGGCCGTGACTGTTTATGTAACTCGATACAGCTTTGCTTTGGCTGTTAGTGATTGATAAGCAAGCTGTGCCCACAACTTGCCTGCTTTGTCTGTCCATGGTCTGCTGACTGAGTTTGGCTAGACACAGTGCTTGCTTGACATTTGATCTGACTGCTGGTGACTAGCCTGTGTTAAAAGTATAGCAGGGGAAGTGGATGGACATTTTGACTGTCTGTGACTGTTTAAATAGCAGGAAGGTTAAGGAATGAGGGCACTCACTTGAACCATCTGAAATTCACAGAGTTATTAGAAAAGTGTGGGAAAAAGCAGTTAATGTTTGTACATGTATTTCTTTTTTGTTATATTTTTTTTCATTTAGAATGTATCACCTTGTATACGAGTTAGAAGTTGAAAAACATGTTTTATTCAGGTTTTAACCTTTCGCAGTGGCAGGTGATGTTTAATCTTCAAGCTTCCCGTGGTGGATGTGGACACGTCAGTGCTTCCAGTTGGTTTTGTACACTCCCATGTTCCGAACTTGAACGTGGCCGCTGTACATGGGCCGTCTTCATAAAATATGAAGTTATGAAATATGAAGTGGTTAAAATAAGGGTTTAACAACAAATTGTTTTATATACTTAACACGCTTCATTTGCAGTCTCTGTATTAAGAAAGAAAAAAACCCTTATGGTTTGAATAGTTGCAAGGGACAAATGTTTTTGAAGATGGAGCCAGTAATGTCATGAAAATTTTTAACCCTAACCGCCCTGAATCCTCCCAAATCCTTTTTGCAAATTGGAGGAATTTGCAGGATTGAGGTTACATGGCAAAGTGTTTTGCTGATTTCGGAGTACGCACTGTGTCAAGGTCTTGGGCCGGACCTTGTGTTGTTTATGCTCAGCCTTGCATAAATTTAGTCCTTGATTATACCTGAAATCCTCCGCACTGCTCCAGGATGTCACTGCCTCTGCCTCGGCCTATTGACAGACATAGCCGGAGGATTTGCAGGATTCAGGCAGTGGTCATCCCTCCATGGACCATATTCAAGAAATAACGGAGGAATTTGCAGGATTGAGGCTATATGCTATTTTTCCATGAGGCCAATTGGAGGATTTTGCAGAATTGAGGCTACATCGTAGCAAAAAGGCCTAGGGAGTTAGGGTTAATGTGTTCATAACATGGCCAGGTTAAACTGTAGAAAATAAATGTGTTACTTCACTATTTGTTCAACATTTCATAATCAAATTTTAGCCAAAATTTACAACTCATCCATAGGTTAATGTACATGTATGTAAGTTGTAGAGACGAGTTCGAAGTTTTTGGTTTTCTTTCTTATTCATGTATTAATTTGAATTTGCTTTATTATTATTGCACCTTACTGAAGAAACATTAGTACTTTATGTGTGGTTATTAACCAAGGGCACCAACTTAATTCGTGAGACCCATGACCTGCAGGCGTCTTGCCCTGTGATTGCCGAGCACATGGATGCGACAGTCGGTGACTTTTGGTAAATGTTTTGAGATAGGGATGATACAGAATTTCATGACAAAACCGATGTCCAGTCACTTACAGGTGACTAGATTCCGGTTCTTTGATGGTCATCAGTACAGTGTCGTGATAATTCTTCCCAGTATTTTTTCGATTGTCGGGATTTTAAAGGTGGTTGGATTTAATAATATGAAAGAAGAGATACTGCCTTTGGCATTTAAAGTTAAAAAGAGCTTCAGTATAATATATACATGTATGAAGATACTCTCATGCATTAAAGAAGTTTCAGTAGTATTTTTCTGCACGAATTCGTGATGTTTATAATAACAAATACTAATAACCAGTTCTTATAGCACATTTTACTGTGATTTGAAATGTTCCAATGATGGGCTGATCTTTAATTGAAGGTAATATATTCCATTCCTCCGGAACTGCAAATTGAAATGTCCGTTGACCATAACGTTTGATATAATTACACAGAGTTAGATGATATTTTGAGCTGGAGTAAAGAATCCTTGATGGACGGTTTTCAGTTATTAATTCTATGTGCGTTTGAGAACCACAAATGTGTGATGACTTTAGAAGAAGGTGACAGATGACAGGTTATAATTTGAACACAATCAGAAAACAATTTGCAGTAACACGATGTTAAGCTGTTCACGTCGGATGGTATACACACAAAGGTTTTGCAGTATTCGGAACGGATGACGGCTAAACACGCAACGAGCGAGGCTAGAAATATTTGTCTGCGACCCGCTCACAGCAAGCGAGGCCTGAAATATCAGGGTGTGCTACCTGCAGATGACGACCCGAATTCTGTCTGGCATCTTGAAAAACAGTCCCACGCCTGGGTCTGGTCAGTGTCAAAATTATCCCAGCGCAAAGTGGTACGAACAGTTATTTTGATTAAATACAGTGCTTTACTTCATGTATTAATAAATAAATCTGATATCAGAAATAGGAATCAGTTGCCAGGAATTTGTTGTTGTCTTTATTAAAAATCAAATAAACAGTAAAACTTAAAACAATAAATTGGCCTGACACATGTACTGGGTTTTTAAGTCCTGTGTTTTTTACCTTAATTATAAATCTGTGTTTTTTTCCTCTCCTCAGGGGTGTGAAATCTCCGCTTTTTAGCTGATTTCAGCTTTTTTTGTTTTGGATTTCAGCTTTTTCCCCTCACTTGCTGTGTACAAAAGTATAGGAGATTTCCAAAATTCAGCTTTTTTACACCTTTTTCAGCTGTTTTCAGCTATTTTTATCAGTGGTCACTCACACCCCTGTCTCCTGCCCTGAAACTGAAATTTTGGATCAAAGCAGTAGGTTTGGCAGGAATTTGCATATTTGAGAAAGTCATGGTACATCTCAGCAACTACATGTACATGTACATGGACTTACAAAGGGTCTGACGCCAATGGAATAATCTGCCATTGGTTTCCCACACAGTCAAGGATTTTTGAAAAATTTGGGATGGTTTAAAGGATGTCATGTTTACACGTTTCAATGAAAATTCTAAATTCGTTTACAGATTTTCCCATAGCATTTAACAAAACCAAAATTGTAAAAAATTGACCTACGTTCACACGTCTCCCTTTGAGATAAACCTCCATAGCACAACTACTTAACCATTTTTGCAAACCTATATTTAATTTACAAAACATATGAAGCATGTCAATACTTACTTCATTACAATTGGGACACATGTAGTTTCAGTTTTTACTTTTTCAGCGACTGCAACTGTTGATCTATCATTTTAATCACGCCAGTCTGCTGACATAATGAGCACGCATCAGCCTTTGTGAATGGAAAACATTTAAACAGTTACGGTTCTTAAATTATTTACTAAACGTTTACAAAATGAAATGCAAAGTCACATCCTTAGGTGGTTTTACTGCTGAAGTGTTTTGATTTTATTTAAGAAGTCTGGGTTCATGAATTTTGAAAACTAAGACATTTCCTCACGAGTTTCATATTTACGGATTCTGTGCTTGAACAAAAGATGGTATTATACATGGCCTCTAGCAAGCTTTCAAGTGGGTTGGGCACACACCGTGTACTTGCATACAGGGTGGGGTATGCACAACTAACATCTGCATGTTCCTAAATACATAGGGTGTATTCAAAACCCTGTTCTCGAGTGACCAGGGAACATGTGTTCTAGGGTTGCCGATTACGAATGCCCAAGTGCCTGTGGAGTGCACCTGGGCAAAAATTCAAGATGGCAGCTGACGTATCAAAACGCCGAATGAAAAGAAGGAGCAATTCACTGAATTAATTGGAAAATAATTGAAATCTTGAAACAGCTACGAACACTGGCAAAGACAAGGCTGACAAGCCCACTCTATAACTATGTAAAAAAAAAATTATCGTTTCTGCTCCTGCACTGAATGAATGCTTTAAATTTTATAGACAAATAGTAACGCAAGTTCCCATAGGGGCCTAAGTCTGCCAACTTTGTTCTTGATGTTCTACATCTACTCTCCAATACATGGTGAGTGAGAATCTTGTTCGTGAACACCGTTCGCGTGTTTGTTCCCCTCATTCAGCACCCTATTCTTGTGTTCATTCAACACGGGAAAGGGGCTTCGAATACGCCAAAAGCATCTTCGCAAAGGCTCTGGTCACATGATGGCAGTCAATTATCTTTTATTGTCAATTAGTCAATTTACAGTCAATTATGTCACCATTAGAGGAGGTATTGCACCAAGTCCATAGAAATTCACTGATTGTACACAGAAGCACTTTTGCTGTCTGCTGAACCCTGAATGTCACACTCCTGAAGTCGCTCGCTGAGGTTTTGCGATTCGGACCCGGGGCTCAAGTCCCCCGACGCCCCTGCATCATCTGTTGAACCGGTTCCAGCCGGTCGGTCCTTGCCAGATCCGGCTGTTTCCGGTTTGGACAAGAGGTCGTTCTTCTTGAGGTAGCAGGCTGTCTTGTAAGGCGGGTCTATGGGTGATTGGGTCGGGGGGTGGTATGCGTAGCCTGCACCGGGTTCCAACTGGGAGACAAATTCAGAAAAAAACCTGTAATTTTAGGCTCCAAGTCTTCATTATCATCCCAAATCTGTCAAAATCCAATGCTAGATTTGGACTAAAACCTGTACAGCAGCCTACCAACATACACTTTACATCAGGCTTGGTGTACCCCACATTGAAGTCAAAAGAATGTGCCTGTAGGTAACTGCAGTGTTGAATTCAAATTTCAAATAGTTTGAAATAATAACCAACCAAAGGAGTCAATTGTTCCAAAGACAGACCCAAAACACTAAAAATCTATAAAACAAAATTGCATATTTCAATTTTGTGTAATTTTTTTTGATTTATGCGAGTACATTGCGTTATACAGCTAACTAAAAGCAAATTAAATTTTCAGTTAAGAGTGGTTTCGCATCAGTACAGATACTTGTATAGCTATCCAGACCTGTTATCGACCATTCTTTTGAACCAATAAATAGCAGTTATCCAAAATGGCAGACTCCAATGAAAACCTGATATCTGCAGAAAAATCTGGGTTTGAAACATCGACAAATGGCACGTACATGTTCAGCAATTCATCCCCTTTCAAGCAAATCACACATGATTAAATAGCTTAGCAGAAGAGAGGGTGAAAACTGACAATTTAACATGGCGTTTCACATGACGCGTAGCGCACGATGTATTGGTGCCATGCACACGTGTAGCGGATAGTGAGTTGCAAATGAGGTCACAATACCACACGATCTGATGGCCTATCTGGAACTGCATCTGTTTGCTTGCGAAACCCCTAAATTTGACAAGTCGAACTCAAACATGCTACCTTAGAAAGAACTTGATAATTAATATGTTTTTACATTCAGTTTACCTCAAGAGGGTATGTCTTATCTGAGTCGTAAGCACTGAGGTCCCCACAGGCTAGGAACGGAACAATGACTCGGTTTGGGCCTTCTAGACTGTTGAAATCCACATCTGGATAAAACAAACAAACAAGCCAAATTCATACGGAAAGTAGTCATAATAATCACTCTTTGTATAGAATGGCTGAATTGGAGGTTTTAGGTTGAGTACCAGCCAAATAAACTTGTGAATTTTTTCTTTCCCAAAGTTCTCTTTAATAGTCACTGTAGCGCCTGAAACCGCCTAAGCACTCTATGGTGTTATTGATTCTTCAGTGTATAAACACAATGTAATACAATGTAGTACAGGTGCTATATGTTAACCACATTGCATCAACGTTGATAACTTTACATACATGATCCATCATTACAAAATGAATGTAAAATCAGACTTTTGAGAATTGAGATTTTTTATTTCTGTAAAAAATTTCTGCTGTTAACAGCTTTCTACACTTAAGGGTACCGATACAGAAATACAGACCACCAACTAAATTTAAGTTAAAAAGTAGTTGTTTGAGAAAATGACTTTTAAAAATTACATTTACATGAACAATCAACTTAGGAAAACGGGATGAAAATAGGTTTTAAAGATGTTTGATAGTATACCTACCATAGTGTTGGTCCAGAAGAGGGTTAGACATGTTCGGTTTGTAACCGACAGGCGGGGCGTAACCCTGACACACAACAAATGCCTCTGCAACAAAACAAAACAAAATGGAAAATTTAACAACAAAATCCTCCAAAATCCTCCACCTTGCAAGAGCTTAGTGGCATATTCTTTGTACGTCCAGTCCCCATATGAAATAATGAACCGTTCCGGATTTGGCCATAAGCCCCGCCCAATATTTTGGATTGTGTACATTTCTCACAGTGCTGGACTTGAGTTTGACCAAGCTATGGCAGTCACCTGACCAAAAGTGGTGATCTTATTGGTCAATGCACACTGTTTGATTGACAGGCAGGAAGGGGTATACTTGCATCAATCCTGCAAAAACCTCAAAATCTTGTGCATATTAATTTAAAACATCTGAGAGAGTTTGGTCATAAATCCCACCCACTTTTTGGTTTAACTGAGCTACAGTGGTCACCTGACCAAAAGCAGCAATCTAATTGGTTAATGGGCACCACTTGATTGACAGGCATGAATTGGGGTCCATTGAGGGTAATACATGCCATCTTATCACAATTACTCGATCAGATATTCTAGTTACTAAAAATACAACAGCTCAAGATATAAAATGATTTGTGTCTTACCAATGCTGGAATTTCTGCTGCTTCTAGGCTTGGCCACAGTCACGTTCGGAAAGAAAATTTTCAGCTGTGAGTAAAGGAGTGTGACGTCTTTGCCCCGAAATATCTGCATATGAAAATGTAAACACCAAGCTAAAAAAAAAAGACTAGTCAAAACTTAATAAAACAAAAAAATACACATTTGTACACAAATCTGTAAGTTTTTTTTTAACCCCTTGCGGCCGGGTTGTTACGCCTCAGTGCACTGCACAGTAGCAGCTGCCGTGCAGCTGCCCACACACTGCATACCATGTCATTCCAGAATGCATGCCGGACCGCGGCTACCACCGTCAGTTGTCTTTAAGGGGCTAAATGACTGTAAAGATGTTTTCCCAATCCATTCCGTTCTCTTGAATGACGTGCTACTTTTTTTTATTGTTTCCCCCAAAACTCTACTATTAAACTATGTTTTCTAAAATCTGTTTGAACAATAACAAATCAAAAGTCACATTTTATAATAAGATTGCAATATAAAGTATTTCATGAATGTACCTATCAGGAAAAGAAACTTGCAGTTTCAAATGGAGAATCAGTTTATCTATTTATTCAATTTCTTTTACCAGGGTCGTCCGATCAGTTTTCAATTAACTATTCACCCTGATTCTGAGAAAACATCGTGCTCTGTCTGTACTCAAAATGGTCAACTACTGCATGTGGCCCATTAACCCTAAACCTTTCCAGACGCAACACAGTGCATCAGGTGGAAAAGCCGGGTGCACTTTGCTGCATTCAGCTACCAACACCAGTGCATAAACGGCCGCTTCTGAGACAATGACAGCTAGTCCTATAGATCAATGCCTCAGTTGTATCCTGCTGCGTTGGGGGACCACAGACTCTGAAGCAGCTTGGCCTTGAGACTTTTGACCTGATGGATCTTGCTGCACTGGGCAGGCTTGTCACTTAGACAAGTGTTGCATGTTGCTGCGTTTGGCAGGGTTTCTAGCCAAACTTTCATGGAGGGTCGAGGCTAAACCTGTTAGTCCCTGTATAGCCTTGACCAAGGCTATCAGTTGTTCCCATATGAGCTTGTTCCCGCTACCGCACACCGCGCGCGCAGCGACACAATGTTGTACTATACCGTTAGCCCCAACGACCCTTGCGTGTGCTTTGTGTGCATGTACATGTTGTACTTACGCCCCACACACACTTCCGCAAACAGCCGTACAGTAAGTCGAGGCGGAAGATAGCCTTGACGCAACCGTGTATGCCGAATATGATAATTAGTACGCGCTATGGTAAATAGTCTTCTCTTATTGGATAACGGCTGACAAAAAAATGAATATTTATTGCATTACATAATACGACCAAAGGTTTATAAACCAGACGGCCTGTGGTAACAATAATTATTGTAAACACCCCCTTAAAATCTTAAATAATAGTAGAATAATATTTATAAAGTTACACATAGTTTGGGTCGAAAATGAAATGAAAAAGGATGAAAAATTAGACCTTCCAAAAACGGCAAACGGTACAAAACCGCACGCCGGCAAAAACGATGTCACCATGCACAGAGGCCACGTTGGGGCCGTCCACTGTAGGCACCGGCCCGGCTGGCGCCATGCAGTAAGACACGCTGCGCTTTCACGTTCAGCGGCAAAAAAAGTGCTCACACTATTGAGTATTGTTGATGTACCCTAACGTGGCGCGGCCCTTAACGTGGCGCACTTTTATTTTTCGCCTGTAGCGCCTAGCTAGAGCAAAAGTTTTAACTGAAATTTCACAGAAAGTGAAATTTCATCAAGTTCTAAACACTCCCGTTCATAAATCGCGAGTTTATTTACCCGTTACAAAGTTAAAAGAAAAAATTATTTTGGCGTGATTTTCCGATTTTATTTTCAAGTGCAAAGTGAACCCTTTGAAAATGCCCCGAAAAATAAGAAAATAATTTTCTGACAAACATCTGGCTGGGTTTGTAAGTAAAGATAGTAATGATTTATCAGAATTTATCAAGTTTACAGAAATTCTTAAATGTTAATTTGGAATTTTCTGAGATTTATTCAAGTGCGCCACGTTAGGGAACACTCCGCTAATTTGTGCCCAATTTCCGGACGCGACCGTTTTTGCATTTCGGATTAAATTTTATGAAACCGAAATTGTTCACAGAGGTTAAATAGCAAGCATTGATAAGGTAAAAGTACCAGCATTTCACTGCATGAATTTGAGGTTTATCAACAAAGAGGTTTGGCGACACTACACGAGGAAAGTTGGGTAAGCTTCGAAGTGCGCCACGTTAGGGAACACGACTATATATCTACCGCTGACTTTTTTTTGGGGGGGGGGGTATTTCTTCTAAGCTGTCAAGGGGATATGGGAAAAAAATATCTCTCCTTCAGCAAACTTATTCTGTAAGAATGATTTTAACTTGTATGAACAACTTATAAGTTATATGTCGTATGTACGACTAATATATCGACAGGGTACGACATATTTCGACAGGGTACGACTAATATCATCGACAGGGTACGACATATATGTCGACAGAGTATGACATATCAAACATGTGACATAATGTCGACAGGTGCCGGTACAGCATATATGTCGTGCATAAGTCGAGTCGACAGGGTACGATATAATTTTGTCGCATACGACAAAGTCGTATATAAGTACGACTTAATATCTCGTGTGTACAAAATATGAATTGTAACTCGTATGTTTGACTTGTTTGTCGATTATGTCGTACATGCAACATATCTTGTGAGAACGACTTGTTTCTTGTGCGATTTACATCTACGACTTACATGTCGTACGTATGTCGTAGGTACGACATATACGATTCATATGTACGCGTTAAAATACATGTGTGTACGTATGAGATGTAATTTGCACATGGTACGTATTCAGGGAGAGTTTTGTTTTCACCATGTACCTGACAGTTTCGTATATTTCCATCCCAAAGTCAATAGCTCGTTTCTTGCAGTTAATTCATACGGGTGCTTATAGATACGAGTTAACCTGCATTCGATTAAATGGGTATGATTTGACCTGGGTCCGAGTTGACCTGTTCCCTACATTCGCTGTCAGAATAGCACGGGCAGGTAGCGGCGTGATAATGTACGCTGTTGCACCGACAAAACGTCGGCGGACTGTCTTGAACTGTCCAATTCGCAATACATTGGAAATAGTATCATTTTGAACAAATTGTTCACTCATATAGCGGCATGTTTCATTTGTTTGTAATAAAACTGGAGAAATGGTTTAAAATGGGATTGAAATACCTGGACATACCATGGTTTGAGCATGGAGGAAGGAATTCCTTCCTCCATGGTTTGAGTGAACATACATGTACATGTACATGTACGTGGTGTATACAGTAATTTGTGGGTCATGAATATGTATGTCGCAGGTCAAAGTTTACGGGCTTTGATTGGATATCGTGTAATATATGCGCATCAGAAATTTTCGGCCGATTTCGGTCGAAACTATAAAGAAACACATAAGGAATTCGCCACGGTTGCGTCAAGGCTATCTTGCGCTTCGACTTATTGTACGGCTGTTTGCGGAAGTGTGTGTGGGGCGTACGTACAGTACATGCACACAAAGCACACGCAAGGGTCGTTGAGGCTAACGGTATAGTACAACTAGTGATTGTGTCGCGGCGCGCGCGGTGTGCGGTAGCGGGAACAAGCTCGTATGAGAACAAGCTGATAGCCTTGGTCAAGGCTAGTCCCTGTACCGCATTAAAGTCACTTTGTCACTGCAGCTGGAGTTTTGGAATTACTATTGGCAATCAGTTCTTACATATGTACACGTAGTTGCTGCTTGTCATACCTTGGCTACAAATGTTCCTCCTGGCTTCAGCATGTGAGTTGTGATGTTAAGAGCCTGTTTTGAAATGACACGAAATACAGGGTTTTAAAACATGCTGGCTCTGTATCTGGTTATGGCTTCTCATCCCTGGGGTCAAAATGCTGTTGAATGGTTCTTCTGCGAACATTAAAGGGAATGTACAACATTTGCTTTTGCTGCAACTTGCAGAAATAAATGGATTTGGAGGATTAGTATGCCATAGCAAATATTGTTCAACTGACTTGTTTCACTTTTTGGGCTTGTAGATGATGGAAAAAACCAAGAAAACCAATCATGTTCTTGTAGTCTGGTATGTCATATTTTGAGTGGCTTTTAAGCCCATGCTTGCCCACCAAATGCAAATTCGCTAATTGTCGCTAATTGTAATGTCACTAATCGCTAATTGTATTGTCACTAAATTTGATGTAACCATCAGTGCTGATGTGATGAACATTCTGTCTGAAACAGTACTTACTGCAAGAAGAAGTTGAGCTTGAATATATTCGTCAATGTCATGAAGCCCAGTTACTGTAAACACAGAACAGAAACGAAGATATGAATGTGTCAATGTGAACAGTGTCTTCCTGAAATGACATCATAGCAACAGCTCCCTCAGTTGTCCGGAAAAGCACGGACAATTTTTATGGGCAATGTTTAAAGAAGTGCACTTTTGAATAAAATTAACCAAAAAGAGATGTCAAATATTTGTCATACATTTAAGTGGAGTAGAAAGTTGCACAAAATATATTCCTAAGAAAAATGCACTTCATGCCCCTTTAAAACACTTTAAGGTAGAGTGCAAGGACTAGTGCTCATTTTTAGCAAAATTTCAGAGGGAGCAAATCTGGAAAAATCTTGCGACATATATGGAAATGAAATTACCGTCTGGTGCCCCGTCACACACCACCAGATCAGCCTGCTCACCCTCAAACTGACTAATTATCTCCTTTGCTGTAGACTCCTTAAAAAATTATAAAAATATACAGTTTAATTAAGAGAGTGAATTAACGGTTGAACATATTTATGACTGTTTGCCTAATTTTCCTGAATAAAAACAAATTATGTATGTATTAATTCTTTGAACTGTAAGTAATTTGGTTATATTTTTCAGTTCAATTCTTCAAAAACAACATCTCTCTATCATTCTCAACCAATCAGAGACCATGTTACAAAAACACCAGCCAATCAGCAGCATGCTTTGAACACTTGGTCGGCATTCTCACCATCTTCGTTTTTTCAAGTTGTGTGTTTTGCCGTTGTCGAACTTTACCTAGTAATTTCCCTCAGAAATCAAAATCCTGCATTCTTTCCCCAAAATTAATACTGGTTGATATTCAACACGGTATCACTGCTGGCATTTGGTCAACTATTTGGGTGAGTTTTATAGGAACAGAGTCCTAAAAGTAACTATTACCAATCACTGTGCAAGCAATATCCTATTGTTGGACACTGACCTTTGTGATGTCACCCTGGAGCTGAATGACCCCTGGCAGGGGGGCCATGGCCTGCAGGTCAACGGCCACTATCTTGACCTTTGACTTATCGGCCTCGCTATGTCTGCAGAAGAAATGGGGGAAACATTATAGATCGATATCATCCGCTGACTGCTTCTGAATGTCATCCGCACTGCCTCAACCCATTAACAGTGATTGTTGGAGGATTTGGAATGATTGAGGCAATGGCCACCCCTCCACTGAGCAAATTCAAGAAATAACGGATGATTTTGGAGGATTGAGGCTGAATCCAAATTTTACATGGTGGCAATTGGAGTATTCTGCAGCATTGAGGATGGTTCCTAGCCAAATGAGCCTAGAGGGTTAGGGTTAAATAAAGAATTTTGTCAACTTGTATAAATTGAGGTCTAATCAGATAACTAACTGCATATACGTCTTCAGTTACAAATTTTGGAGATAAAAACAGTACATGCAGGAACTTGGACCTTTTTTGACTTTTTTGTTGTAAATAAACCAACTCAAACCAAGCTAACCATTCACAATCATTGTTGGAATTTTTTTTTCAATTTTAAGAAATGTCAAGAACAGCAGGAACTTGTACATGTCACTTGGTGGTCGGTTGGTCGGATGGTCGGTATGTCTGTCCATATGTGCCATCAGGGGGGAGTGTGTGGCCTAGCGGTTAGGGTTCGTGACTCATGATCAGAGGGTCCGGGGTTCGAATCCAGCTGCTGGCCATATGTTGTGTCCTTGGGCAAGCCACTTCATCCACACTTGCCTCTCTCCACCCAGGAGTATAAATGGGTACCGGCATTAGCTGGGGAATAACCTGCGATGGACTAGCATCCCGTCCAAGGGAGTAGAAATATTCTCAGTTGACTGGTGCCACTGAAACCTGGAGACAAACGCCTGCCTGATGAGCCACATTGGCTCGCGACAGACTTTACTTTTTACCATGTGCCATCAGCGTTGCAATTTTCGGCGTCGCAATTTTTCGGCTCTGGCAGGGATCTTTTTGATAGATTAATAGATTTCATGCAAGACTTCTTGCAACACGGCCAGAGCTTATTGTGCACTCCCACTTGTTTTTTTAGATACCTTAGTTTTCTACTGAGAACTTGACTCCAGCTGCCTGGTGCCGCACACAGATCCACAGCCTTGCTCACATCTATGTAGCAGAAAAATCAACACATTTTGTTAGCTTAAAGCCAGAGTCCGTCATTTGCAGCCATCCGAAAAGTAACTGGAGAAATTAGTGTTGAAAAACATACTTGGTTGGAAGATAGTAAGGGAACTAAACTCCCTGTGAAATTATTCTTTCTGGTAAGCTGTCATTTTTTAGTAATCAACGAAAGAAGGCCTTTCCAATGGTATTTCTTAAGACACACCGTAGGAAAATTTAAATTAGTAGTTTGTTTTGTTATTCGGCGAAGCGCACACAAGCATTGGCCTGACGCGCACGTGCGTGCAGTTTGCTATAATTTGCCGGATCAGTGCGCGACATCACGTATAGCTGCAACCAGCTCAGTGAGAACGTGTCTCGGACGCTGAATTCAGGCCCAATTCAAAACATGATTCAGCAACTTTTGATTGGAAATTGAGATCCTAGAATGCTGTTTTTTCCGGAACAAACAGCTGAAGCTGAGCTGAAACTTCATCAGGTTACTTTTCCAGTATCCTTCATTAGATTTTGAACGCTTTAATGTTGCTTTAAACGTACAAAATCCTCAAATTACAAATGATGGACTATATCTTTACTACTAATAGCCCCCTCACTATTGTTAAAAATGGAAGCAAATACCTGGATCTCAGACAAACATGCTGTACGAACTAGTAGTACTCGCGTGAAGATTACGCGCACGCTTGCAACACCATTTCTACGCATATTTATGCAGCCAGATATGGATGCTTGCGCGCACGTGATTGTTCAAACGTTTGTGTGATATCCAGATTATGCGCGCGTATACGGCGCGGAACAAAATTGACGTCATTTATGCGGAGTGCTATTGATAATGAATGTGAATAACATTAATTAAGTTGTGATTTAAAGTTTCCCTTTTTTTTGGCGTCACCTTTGAATATGTTAAATTCCTCGTTTATCTGGAGAAGCTTGAAGGCACTGCGGGCCCTCCATCCTTCCTCCTTAGCCAGGCGATAATAAATGTCACGCTTGTCCTTTGAAGAACGTCCCATGTCTTGGAACAGCAAAAATCTACTGCAGTCACAAGAGTTGAGGTTTTTCTGCTGGAAGATAAATTATGACTTCTGAGTTCTGTCAGCTACTCCCTCATATCTGTGATAAAATAAGCGGTGTGAAGTTGGTTACTTATTCCTCGTTCCTTGTTCGACATTCGCACGCTAAACACTACATGTACAAATCATGCATAGAGTGTATCCAAAGCTGCATATACACATTCGCAAACGGCTCATAGACTGGTTTCCTATCCCGCTAGGCCCAGGAACACTTTGTTTTGCCACACATTTTCGTACAACAGAGACCTCCTTTAGGCATGAAGAACACTTTGGACCGGGAAAGGCTGGAAGTAGGGGGATGCATGAGGACCTGGGGAACTGGGAAATAATGGGTCTGACCTGGTCCAAGGGGTTTCAGTATTTTTTTCATATTTTTGAAAAAGACAAATCTACGGCGATTTTAATGCACATGTTCCCATATGTTTGTGTACAAAATCGGTGCTCTAAAAGAAATGTCCCTTTAAGCAAGAAGAACGTCTTGGACCGGGCAAGGCTGAATATAGGAGGATGCAGGAGGACCTGAGGAACTGGAAAATAGTGGGTCTGACCTGGTCCAAGGGGTTAAAATATTTTTTTCATATTTTTGAAAAAGACTTAAATCTACGGCGATTTTAATGCACGTTTTTCCATATGTTTGTGTACATAATCGGCGCTCTCAAATAAATGCCCCTTTAAGCATGAAGAACGCCTTGGACCGGGCAAGGCTGGATGTAGGAGGATGCAGGAGGACCTGTGAAACCTGAAAATAATAAGTCTGACCTGGTCCAAGCGGTTGGATTATTTTTTCCATATTTTTGAAAAAAAATTGAAATCTACGGCGATTTTAATGCACGTTTTTCCATATGTTTGTGTACATAATCGGTGCTCTCAAAGAAATGTCCCTTTAAGCATGAAGAACGTCTTGGACCGGGCAAGGCTGGGTGTAGGAGGATGCAAGAGGACCTGAGGAACTGGAAAATAGTGGGTCTGACCTGGTCCAAGGGGTTAAAATATTTTTTTCATATTTTTGAAAAAGACTTTAAATCTACGGCGATTTTAATGCACGTTTTTTCCATATGTTTGTGTACATAATCGGCGCTCCCAAAGAAATATCCCTTTAAACATGAAGAACGCCTTGGACCGGGCAAGACTGGATGTAGGAGGATGCAGGAGGACCTGGGGAACTTGAAAATAATAAGTCTGACCTGGTCCAAGGGGTTAGAATATTTTTTCCATATTTTTGAAAAAGGCTTAAATCTACGGCGATTTTAATGCACGTTTTTCCATATGTTTGTGTACAAAATCGGCGCTCCCAAAGAAATATCCCTTTAAGCATGAAGAACGCCTTGGACCGGGCAAGGCTGGATGTAGGAGGATGCAGGAGGACCTGAGGAACTGGAAATAGTGGGTCTGACCTGGTCCAAGGGGTTGGAATATTTTTTTCATATTTTTGAAAAAGACTTAAATCTACGGCGATTTTAATGCACGTTTTTCCATATGTTTGTGTACATAATCGGCGCTCTCAAATAAATGCCCCTTTAAGCATGAAGAACGCCTTGGACCGGGCAAGGCTGGATGTAGGAGGATGCAGGAGGACCTGTGAAACCTGAAAATAATAAGTCTGACCTGGTCCAAGCGGTTGGATTATTTTTTCCATATTTTTGAAAAAAAATTGAAATCTACGGCGATTTTAATGCACGTTTTTCCATATGTTTGTGTACATAATCGGTGCTCTCAAAGAAATTCCCTTTAAGCATGAAGAACGTCTTGGACCGGGCAAGGCTGGGTGTAGGAGGATGCAAGAGGACCTGAGGAACTGGAAAATAGTGGGTCTGACCTGGTCCAAGGGGTTAAAATATTTTTTTCATATTTTTGAAAAAGACTTTAAATCTACGGCGATTTTAATGCACGTTTTTTCCATATGTTTGTGTACATAATCGGCGCTCCCAAAGAAATATCCCTTTAAACATGAAGAACGCCTTGGACCGGGCAAGACTGGATGTAGGAGGATGCAGGAGGACCTGGGGAACTTGAAAATAATAAGTCTGACCTGGTCCAAGGGGTTAGAATATTTTTTCCATATTTTTGAAAAAGGCTTAAATCTACGGCGATTTTAATGCACGTTTTTCCATATGTTTGTGTACAAAATCGGCGCTCCCAAAGAAATATCCCTTTAAGCATGAAGAACGCCTTGGACCGGGCAAGGCTGGATGTAGGAGGATGCAGGAGGACCTGAGGAACTGGAAATAGTGGGTCTGACCTGGTCCAAGGGGTTGGAATATTTTTTTCATATTTTTGAAAAAGATTGAAATCTACGGCGATTTTAATGCACGTTTTTCCATATGTTTGTGTACATAATCGGCGCTCCCAAAGAAATGTCCCTTTAAACATGAAGAACGCCTTGGACCGGGCAAGGCTGGAAGTAGGAGGATGCAGGAGGACCTGGGGAACTGGAAAATAATAAGTCTGTCCTGGTCCAAGGGGTTTCAGTATTTTTTTCATATTTCTGAAAAAGACTTAAATCTACGGCGGTTTTAATGCACGTTTGTCCATAAGTTTATGTACATATAATCTGCGCTCCCAAAGAAATGTCCCTTTAAGCATGAAGAACGTCTTGGACCGGGCAAGGCTGGATGTAGGAGGATGCAGGAGGACCTCAGGAACTGGAAAATAGTGGATCTGACTTGGTCCAAGGGGTTGGAGTATTTTTTCATATTTTTGAAAAAGGCTTAAATCTACGGCGATTTTAATGCATGTTTTTCCATATGTTTGTGTACATAATCGGCGCTCCCAAAGAAATATCCCTTTAAGCATGAAGAACGCCTTGGACCGGGCAAGGCTGGATGTAGGTGGATGCAGGAGGACCGGAGGAACTGGAAATAGTGGGTCTGACCTGGTCCAAGGGGTTGGAATATTTTTTTCATATTTTTGAAAAAGATTGAAATCTACGGCGATTTTAATGCACGTTTTTCCCTATGTTTGTGTACATAATCGGTGCTCCCAAAGAAATGCCCCTTTAAGCATGAAGAACGCCTTGGACCGGGCAATGCTGGATGTAGGAGGATGCAGGAGGACCTGAGGAACTTGAAAATAGTGGATCTGACTTGGTCCAAGGGGTTGGAGTATTTTTTCCATATTTTTGAAAAAGGCTTAAATCTACGGCGATTTTAATGCATGTTTTTTCCATATGTTTGTGTACATAATCGGCGCTCCCAAAGAAATATCCCTTTAAGCATGAAGAACGTCTTGGACCGGGCAAGGCTGGATGTAGGAGGATGCAGGAGGACCTGGAAAACCTGAAAATAATAAGTCTGATCTGGTCCAAGGGGTTGGATAATTTTTTCCATATTTTTGAAAAAGATTGAAATCTACAGCGATTTTAATGCACGTTTTTCCATATGTTTGTGTATATAATCGGTGCTCTCAAAGAAATATCCCTTTAAGCATGAAGAACGCCTTGGACCGGGCAAGGCTGGATGTAGGAGGATGCAGGAGGACCTGAGGAACTGGAAAATAGTGAGTCTGACCTGGTCCAAGGGGTTGGAATATTTGTTTCATATTTTTGAAAAAGACTTTAAATCTACGGCGATTTTAATGCACGTTTTTCCCTATGTTTGTGTACATAATCGGTGTTCCCAAAGAAATGTCCCTTTACGTATGAAGAACGCCTTGGACCGGGCAAGGCTGGAAGTAGGAGGATGCAGGAGGACCTGGGGAACTGGAAAATAATAAGTCTGTCCTGGTCCAAGGGGTTTCAGTATTTTTTTCATATTTTTGAAAAAGATTGAAATCTACAGCGATTTTAATGCACGTTTTTCCATATGTTTGTGTATATAATCGGTGCTCTCAAAGAAATGTCCCTTTAAGCATGAAGAACGCCTTGGACCGGGCAAGGCTGGATGTAGGAGGATGCAGGAGGACCTGAGGAACTGGAAAATAATGAGATTGGCCTGGTCCAAGGGCTTTTAGTTTTCGTCAGGACCGGCGCCCTCTTTTTTAGCTTCCTTACATTATGAAAAAGTTTTATTTAGTAAATGCTTCAGACAAGCCTACATCAATGACAAGATAAAATCTGTTTCAGTACTAAAACATGTAAATGTGGATCTCCCAAAACTAATTGCACACTTCCAAATTATGTGCTGTCAAGACTTGAAGACGGACTCGTCCATTGATTTCATTTAACATAAAGCCACTTTAGGTTTTCCTGGCCAATTTCGCAGAAATAGCATCCGAATTCTTTTTGATATTGGCCAATTTGAAGCGACATGTCTCGTGGTTCGTATTAGATTTCAGTCGTTCAAATTCATTTTAAAACCTTACATTTTCATGTTGAACACATTCTTAATTGAAGTTATGTCATTTAAGTGATCATTCGATTTCGAAGTCGGTTTGCCATTTGGTTTAGAGTTATTTGCATGAGATTCTTGTTTTTGTTTTCATTTCCGCGCATTCTATTTAGCACTTTTCTCATTCAAAATGAAAGTCAACGGAGGAATAATTACAGATGCCAGTCTTTTTAGTTCTTTCACCTTTTCATTATTTCTGTTTCATATCGTGGTCCACTTTTGTGTCCCCGTCTGCCAGATCTCAGATACGTTCATACAATTGACCTGGCAGTAGAAATCTGCAGTGCAAGATAGTTTTGGGCATCAAACGACCAGGATCAACAATTGAAATTCTCATCTAATGCCCATGAGCTGGCATATATTAATTGGTATTTCTTGTGATTCAATCTATTACAGTTTGCATAGTCATCAGATTAGTGGCAAAGTCTTGTGGGAGACACTTTTTATATCTATATTTCCAAATTGGAAAAAAAACACTAACAAACGACGGAAGACATGGACCTATTTCGAATTACTTTGCTTAGGCCTATGTTCTTTTCACATGCTTGCTTACTGGTGAATTCGAATGACCAGACTTTCACAGCTGGAAGCTCCGGCGAATTTGGATGCTCGTTCGTGCAATTTTAATTTGAATGCCCTGTTTTTGACATTGCATGATTAAAATGTGAAATCGCATGCTTCTAATGTGAAATTGATTGGTGTTTTTAGGTAATTG